AAATGATAATAAACATTTAATTTTAAACCTTTCCCACTTCACTTGGTACATGTAAATAATACCCTGATTTGCCATTTAATGGTTAACAACTTGGAAATTTATATCAACAAAAGGATATGTGGGGTATATGTCAATTAGTCAGCAACTCAGCAACCAAAAAAAAGGACCCTTTAAAAAAAATTGTAGTCATTATAATTTATTGGTTTATTGGAAAGCTTTGGATAATCATGAACTTTTTTTTAGTAAAGTATGATAATGACAATAATACATCCAAATCAAATTATCATTCAGTGTATTTTCCATTTTTATTAACCACATCTTATTAATTTCCAACTTGTATTATAGATTATAAATTAGATATTGGAATCAAACATCCACCAGCATATCATGTAAAGCCGTAATGGTTAAGAATATACAAGTATTCAGTAAACAGGAAGTTGAGCTGTATAGCATGCTCACATGAAGCTTGCAACCAAATTTCAGGAAATCTCTGAATTGTAGTTTTTGAGAAATATGTAAAGATATTTCTTGCCACAGATGGATAGAAGGAAGGATAGATGTTTAGAGGGATTGCATTATATTCCTTCATAGCATGGGGATAAAAAAAACTTTCTTTATACTATTGTGTATTGGTACATAGATGTATTTAATAGAGAATGTATTTCCAAGATCTAAAACTTATGTTTGATTAAATCTAAAACAATAAAAAAATAAATCTGGAGGCAATTTAATCCAGATAATAGAGATGCATTTGGTGTTGGAATCTGTTTCTCTAATGATTTTCAAACAATATGCAGGCAAACTTCTTCCTTCTTTTTGAATGATCTGCAAAAAGATGTGTTCTTTCTATGTGACGTCATCAGGCATGGTCGCCTTTTTTCATGCCGTCACAATAGGAAATTCAGAGGAAAGCAAGAAAATTCTACGTCATAATCGGATTTTAACCAATGAAGAACTGAGATCAAACGAACCACACGTTGATTAAATTTTTTTTATACAATGGGTGCAGAAAGGGATAAATTGACGAAGAATTAGAGAAATGAGAATATCTTATATGATATGACATCATTTGAAGTTTGAGTTGTGGAATAAAATAGGACTTACAATGAATAAATATAAAAATATCAGCAGCCTTCTCTTATTTATGACCAACATATAAAGCACATATCACACAGTAGAATATGGTCCTTAATGAAACTAGGAAACCTGATATTCTAAAAGCTGTTAATGATGCATAATTGCAGGTCTCCATGCTTTAAATCTTTTGGAAGACTATACTCATAGTTCAAAATTGTACACTAGCACAGTTATGAGCAATGCAACTTAAGCTATGGATATTTCATCTCAAATTCAATAATCTTCAGGATTTACACCTTATATTGACCAAAGAGGCAACAATCAAATTCAGAAGCTTGAGTTAAAACTAGTTGGCTATTATCAATATGTGATAGATATTGTTTTTTATTCTACACTTGAAATTTGATCAAAGTACAGTGATTATCTTTTCACTTACAATTGTGCAAAGCATTCTTTCATATTTTTTATTGCATTGTGTTTTACATTCTTGTTAAGAATATAAATATAAAGGGTCATATGACTTTTCTTGGGGAATTTTGGGATTTTGTACCAAACCTAGTGATTTTGCAGAAAATTCCCAAAATTTTGAACAAAATAAAAAAAATCTCTGGTCCTTAATAATATACTTTCAAGAATAAATTTGTGTTTGGATGAAACAAAATTCATAATAATTTCCAGGAGAAAACGTTCAAATGATATAACAACCAATCACAGGTAGCCAGCTATTTTTATCTCTATGCCATGTTCCCTTCATAAACTGGCTATGAACATATAACTTTATTTAGTACAAGGTAACCTCTAAGTCCACACATGACTTTTTGTAATTTTAATTTTCATCCCAAAAAATTTCGGTTGGTAATTGATCTATGTCTTCACTATGTGTTTTTAAATTAACATATCATGACATTTCAAGGCATTCACATGACTGAGTTTAACATAAGACTCTCCTGAAAAACAACAATCTGATTTTCTTCGAATTTTGGTGACTATACTCCATCTCATGATTATTATTAATATCTGAAAAATAAAATGGATATGATATTAAACAATGATAGCCTGTATGTACAGAGAGTGGTCCCTCATAGCATTTACAAATTATGGGACCCCATCATTCAATTTTGAAATCTCAAAACTCTTCAACCCTAAATTGGCTGAGAGAAAAAAACAGTCATATTTTAAAGAAATTCAATCATAACTGAAGGCAGGATCTAGACATATGTGTGCTAAACCTGGAAGTTTTTTGTAGCAATTTCTTCAGTCAATCTGAAATTTTGTTCAACCATAACAGGTAAGGGAACCTGCACTGTACAGGTCTAGCAGGTGTCAGAAAAAAAAATATTTATCTAGGACCTGTTCTCATTTTTTCAATACTGTCTTAGTATTTCAGGTAAATTTAATTTTAAAGTTCATAGCAAAATGATGTTACAAAGTTCTAAATCATAGTTTTTAACTTGTTAATTCAAATTAAATTTAAACTTTAAAACCTTAGTTGTTTACTGTTGAATAATTTTAAATTAATTTTACAAGTAAATTTGTGGTTGTAATAATGCAGGTAAACACTTGGTGGAAATGTAAATGTGAATCTGAATCAGACTTCTGGTTTTGGTTAAAAACATCCAATACAAAGTGGGTTTTTTTACAAACAGAGCAAATGTCTCTTTAAAGTCCTAATTAAAAAATATGAATAAAGGTAGTTTTTAATTTTGATTTTCACTGTCAACATTTTGAAATTACATACCACTTATAAACTTTACTTTGTGGCATAGGGGACATAACTCAAGTCTTTTATAGTCTCTTGTTCAACATATTGGGATTATCTCCCATTGCTTTATTCTACAGATGTTTTATCGCAATCTGCCTAAAATCAAATTTTAAACTGGGCTCCATTTGATTAGTTTGTTTTGGTGGGTAATATCTGAAGACATCCAATAGGGGTCAATTTCAGGGATCATTAATCATCAAATCAAATCTTTCCCTTCAAAAGTTCAGTATTTTTTACTATGCATTATCAATAATGTTCAGAAAACTGCTATATTTCTAATCTTAAATGCTGGGAAAACGAATCTAAAGGAGGAATGTGAAAGATGCAATTTTAATCAGACTATTTTAATCATACCTGTCATCTTATTTCCCGATTCAATGTGATGTTAAGGTTTACTCTTTATTCTTTACAAATACTATGTCAGAGATATATTTCCTGGTTGTATTGCAAGTTCATGAACTAAAAGCAAAACAATGAGATTGAAAAGTACAAATTTGGTAAACAATCCAAAGTCAGCTATTTTCAGGATATTTTGAAATATGCCCTTTTTTCACCATTTAAAAAGAATTGTTTACAAAAAAAAAATCCAGGAGATTTATGCTGAAAGATAACTGCAAGGTATGTGCAACATTAAACTAAGATCTTTTAATATAAAAGAAATATTTACGGAGATTTTACTAGAGAGAGACCACAAAATTCATATTTTTGTTAAAAAGGAAAAAAATTTGCACATTTTCACACATATTTATAAGCATATGCAAGAACCACAAACCTATTTACGTGATGGTGTTATTCATAAAGAGGGGTGGAAGGAACTTTTTCGGGACGTCAGGATTGAGCCGTTTAATTCGCAGGAATTCAGGAATACCCAGTAAAAACATCCGAAATTCAGGATCTAATTATATTGTCAAGCAGGAATGGACACATTATTTTCATGTGAATTCAGGATTTAGAAATTACCACCTATAGAGACAATTCAAGAAATGCACATACATTTTCACTGTATAAAAAAGCATTACTCCTCCAACATATTTGGGAATTTAAAGTGCCTACCCTGGGTTACATATGTGTCTCTATTGAAAAGCCCTAAGAATTTATTCATTTACAAAAAAAGATGATTGGAAAAACATCTGAACTGTTAGCTATCTTTAAACTGTCAACCGACTCATTTCTATCATGTTATCAATTTTTAAGAAAATTCCACATGTAAAAGTAGCATACCTAGCATAAAATATCTATAGTATTATTTGGATGAATATAATGTCTAAGATCCATGTTCTTTCTAAGCTTTGTTAGTAGCCTTTTTTCTTTAAACTTCTCAATGTGTCATTCATCATCTGGATACTGTGCCAACAATGGTCAAATTATTATACTATGCTCAAAACTTCTGTTCTAGCCATCTCACTGAGTCTTAACTTCTGTTCTAGCCATCTCGCCGAGTCTAACTTCTGTTCTAGCAATCTTGCTGAGTCTTAACTTCTGTTCTAGCCATCTTGCCGAGTTTAACTTCTGTTCTAGCCATCTTATTTCTGAAACATAAAACTAGAACTCCCCTGGATGTAAACCAGGACAAAATCATATATGGTAAATACTGAGCTGAAAGGGAAGATGAAACTGATTAGATAAAGTATCTACAGATGAAGTTGGAATTATTAGTCATTTTCTGGACAGAAGTGTTCAGTAGCTCAAAATCATCATGGATTTTATGTGTATGCAATGCTTTAATAAGAAAATTACACACATATAAAACTTATGATCACTTAAAGTGTCTGAATAATTTAATCTAAATGAGAATAATAATTCGGAATTTTCAGTTTCAAAAATAATTTATCATTTTTGCAGTTGCAGAACTCTTGTCAGTAACAAGATGTTGTTGCTTCACTCTGAAAAACATGATGTTTTCATAGTAAAATGTTCAATGTCATTAGTATACCTACATTGTGAACAGCAACCTAAAATAGAAGAGAACATTCTACACAGAGACATCATAAACTTCAAAGTAGAGTAACAACCCAAGAAAATGATATTTTATTGTCCAGCATCATCTGTAGTTTAGATATTGAACATGTCTTGTCTGTTTTTAACACGTAACATAAAACATAAATATACCACCTGTAATTATGTAACATAAAACACATTTTATACCACCTGATTTGTTTACCTTAGGATCGTGTTTCTTGTTCTCTTCATTCTCTTCATCAATCTCAAAGTAAAGCTCTGACTTTGTTATAGCCATAGTACCAGCTATAGCTACCCCTGGTGCTATCAGCTTACATGGGGTAGACAGAGCAACAGGACCTGTAAATAAAAGAAAAAATATCTATTTTCAGAAACAGTGGTTAAAATAATAATAATGATACTTGGAGAAATATTTAAGAAGCTATGTCTTGTGTAAATTTACCCATGGTATAACTTCCAATTCATCAAACTTTAAAGCATTTTGGTTTGTTTTATCTGATTGGATTGGGATATAAAAAAGTAACTGCATATCACTCTTTATTATTACTTCTAATATTTCCATGTTTTGTCAATTTTTTTTCTTTTTCTTATGTTAATGTAAGTAATAATTTACTTGTTCAAACTAAAACAACAGCCAATAAGAGAAAATATCATTTCTTTAAAATTTATCAATTTACTATGAAACTTTTCACCCGATTTGTACTTGCATGAGCAGCACAACAGGTGTCACATGTGGAGCAGGAACTGCTCACTCTTCCCAAGCACCTGAGTTCACCCCAGGTTTTTAGTTGGTTTTGCTCAGTCTTTAGTTTTCTATGTAGTGTTTTGTGAACTAGTTAATTTTTTCTTCTTTCTTTATTTTGTTTTGCCGTGGCGTTGTCAGTTTTTCTTTGACATGTGAGTTTTGAATGTCCCCCTGGCATTTTCTGCCTTTTTTATTGCTAGATATTAATTAATTTGAACATTTTGTCTTTTGAGTTGCTTCATGCTCTTTTTCTTTTTCTTTTTTTTTTTTTTAAATGACCATTCCTACACGTACCATTGAATTCCTGGTCCAGATCTCTCTCTTCCATCATCAATTCTTCATCTGTATAATCAGGTTGTTGTTGTACCTTCTTCTGAGCTGCTAAGTGGGCATGAAAAGCCTCTCTGGCCTGGTTTATTGCATCTTCTTCTGCTCCTTGAGTTATAAGTAATTATATTAGTATTTTAATAATATTCTAATGAAGTATGACACTGATCGTTTATCAAGAAATCTTTTGAAAAAAATTTGTATAAATTTTTTTTTTTCTTACCAGTACTGCATAGATCTCTGTTTATGCATACGTATTAATTTATTTTCTATTGAATTCAATTAAATACAGATAAAGATTAATCCCCCTTTCCAAAATAGTTTGTATAAATAAAATGAAACAACAAAGGATAATGACCAATAAGCCCCTTATTTGGCCCATATATATTAGTGCAAATTTAAAAGTTACCATACATAAATGATCATAAATTTCTTCTGACAATATTTAGGTAAAAGGTGTTTAGAAAATAAAAAAACAATTTCACATTTGAGGAGTTAGTTACAGTAGCAATAAACAATGATGACATTTGCATATTTAATGATTGTGATGGTTGGATTGAAGGCACTCAAGTTAATTAACTGTGGTGGTTGAATTTTCCTTATAATTTTGTAAGAAAATTAATATGGGATGAAATAACTTTTTATTATAGTATTATGGTTACCATGTTCAATAGCAGCCTTTAGAGTAGCTTCAGGATGTGTGGATCCATGTGGATTCCTGATCATTCTCCTCCTCCTCCTGGAATCATCTTCCCAAACATCTAACTTCCAAAACTCTACAGGTCTGTAAAGGAAATTATAAAATAAAATCTATATAGTCTACTTTTATCCAGATATAGGTTAATACTTCAGGAATTATCATGTAGTATACAATAACTCACAATCAATAATTTTTAAATGGTCTACATTAAAGGTATGACAGCCATTTTAAACATAACTAACTTACTTTTCACAAGGATCACCCCAAGCTCCATGCTTATTGGTCAGTATATACAGTATTTTGTCCTTCAGTTTTACAGCTATCTGGTGATCTCTTCTCTTTGCAGATTTTATCAAATGATCACAAAGTTTTTCTTCTTCCTTTCTGTCTAACATGGTTTGGGCACACAAAGACTAAAATAGAAATTATCAATCACTTCAATTCTTCTATATAAACAACTTTTATTGTCTTCTTTAAGAGGTGTCAGAGAAGGTACACAATTTACAATTGGTGCTGCTTAGTCTTTAGTTTCCTATGTAGTGTTTTGTAGACCATTCTTTGTCTTTTAGATGTTTCACATTTTTTGCCATGGTTAAGTTAATCTCTCTACAACTTATGAATTTTGATTGTCCCTTTGGTACCTTTTTTTTTAATATTTAATTATCAGTATCAGTGTTATCAGCCATACGTATAATGTGTCTGTGATATCACATATTTCACATTTGAATATCTCTCTTTAACCAGAATATAAACTCAACTGAAAAAAATCAAATGTGAAACATGTATCATTGCCCATTACAAATTCACTATTTTTAAGTTTTAATACTTTAGTAGAATATAATTTATGTTGCATCTTTGGACATCCATTGATCTGTTTTGTTTGTGCATTGGTCATAGATGCAGTCAATTCTTCATTTCTTACCTCAAATTCAGCATGTTTCTGGACATCTTCTGCCCTCATTCTATTTAATATGAACTCGGCTTCATTTGCAACTCTTACTATATGGTCCCTAGTAGCATGTGCTAACAATCTGTTAAAAGTAAATAAATCAATTAAGTAGGTTTATGAAATTGTTTTAAACAAAACGAATTAACTTGAAATATAATAAATTACAATTTTCAGAGGCAATGTCTTCTCTTCACAGAATATTGAATATGAAATAACTGTTTTTAGGGATTCCTTTATTTAAACTACCTGTATAAACATGCCTAATATTTTTTTTTTTAAGGTTGATATTATCTTAACTCAAAAGAAGAACAAATTGGCTAGAAAGTTTTCTCTATAAGCAGGCCTTATAGTAAAAAATATTTTGAGTACAATTATTGTACAAACTAAAAATTCAACCAATCAAAGTATTGGATTTGTTGTTTCAAGCAAAAATGTTATCACTTTTTAATAGAAGACCATGTGCCACAATGACTTACCTCCCCTCATTGACTAGTTCTATAAAGGCAAGCCCAGCATGTTTCTGTAGAGAATTCTGCCACTCTTGAGAACACAGTAACATAACCAGCTCTACTACTGAGGTGCTCTGTTTTAATGTGACTAGACCTGTTAAACAAAACAAATTATATCATATATACTATATACGATAGTTTCAAGTCATGTTTATATGGTTTATAATGCAAATAAAAACTAGAACTGAGAGCATATTCTCAAAAGGTTACTATAACCTCTAGAACTCTACCTCCCCTTCATGCCATAAAATATTCAAAAATTCTACAATGAATCATGCTGAATCCTTTAAAAAACTTGTCAATATTTTAGTTATAATATCAACAGCATCTCAAGATAGTCCAACTGAGAAAGACCAAACAATATACTTATTTCACTTTACTTTTTATGTATTTATAAACAATAATCTAACTAATAGTTACCTCCAATTAGTAATTCTTGTCCATGCGATCCAATAAGTGTCTTTGACAAAAATGGAGCAAAGTCAACAAAAATTTCTCTCAACAATGGAGCGACTGATCCTAATGCCTTCTCCAATCTTTCTGTGAGTGATCCAGTATCTCCAGGCATTGGGAGATTCTCCACCGTACCAGGTATCTTACTCCTACTCAGCTGTAGTTTAAGGCTGGGTCTGTTGTGCCTAACACCATGTGTTCCAGCAGAGATAGCAGAGATGGGCTGTACCTCAGGTTCACCAGAACCATCCCATTCTAACTCTTGCTCCTGTTCTGTTGATGTGGCAGAGGTATCATTCACTGATGTATCTTGGTCTTCTACACCTGTCAAATAGAATATGGCAATTAATATTTTTTCTAATGTAAATTTTGTACAAAAAAATCCATGCATATTTGAACTTGGAATTATAGAAGGAACAAAATAAGATTTTCTTCATCATTTAAGTACAGTTTTCATCTTATCCTATTTATACATCAGTAGTATGCAACAGCTTAGATTGTCACCTGGTAGGATTGTTGCCTCATGTGTGGGAGGTTCTGGGTTTGATCTACTGCAGGGTTAAACCAGCTTAGATTTTCACCTGGTAGGATTGTTGCCTCAAGTGTGGGAGGTTCTGGGTTTTATCTACTGCAGGGTTAAACCAGTTTAGATTGTCACCTGGTAGGATTGTTGCCTCAAGTGTGGCAGGTTCTGGGTTTGTTCTACTGCAGGGTTAATCTAGCTTAGATTGTCACCTGGTAAGATTGTTGCCTCAAGTGTGGGAGGTTCTGGGTTTGATCTACTGCAGGGTTAAACCAGTTTAGATTGTCACCTGGTAGGATTGTTGCCTCAAGTGTGGGAGGTTCTGGGTTTGATCTACTGCAGGGTTAAACCAGCTTATATTGTCACCTGGTAGGATTGTTGCCTCAAGTGTGGGAGGTTCTGGGTTTGATCTACTGCAGGGTTAAACCAGTTTAGAATGTCACCTGGTAGGATTGTTGCCTCAAGTGTGGGAGGTTCTGGGTTTGATCTACTGCAGGGTTAAACCAGCTTATATTGTCACCTGGTAAGATTGTTGCCTCAAGTGTGGGAGGTTCTGGGTTTGATCTACTGCAGTGTTAAATCAGCTTAGATTGTCACCTAGTAGGAATGTTGCCCTGGGTGTGGAAGGTTCTGGGTTTGATCTACTGCAGGCTTAAACCAGCTTAGATTGTCATCTGGTAGGATTGTCACCTCAAGTGTGGGAGGTTCTTGGTTTGATCTACTGCAGGGTTAAACCAGCTTAGATTGTCACCTGGTAGGATTGTCGCCTCAAGTGTGGGAGGTTCTTGGTTTGATCTACCGTAATTGGGCTTGTATAGTTCGCACTGGTAAATAGTCCGCACCCCCTTCTCCCGACGAAATTTCAGGTAAAAAAACTTTTTGTAACTGTTAGAAAAGGTCTAATGAAACTCCGGTAATTTCAAATCGTGCATGGTCGTTTGCTGTATTTTTTTGGAAAAACCTGTTTTCCTTCATCAAACAGAAGCTGAAACTGCTTGTAAATGATTCAAGAACACTTCATGATTGTTAAAATAAGTCTAAATCACATCAAAAACAATTTAGAAACTTGTGTATGTTTAAACCGGAAGTTTGAATAGCATGTGTAAAAGAAGAAAAAAAACAGTGAGAGTCGAAATCCGTACATCATAGATATCACTATAATACGACTTTGAAAGTAAAACAGTTCCATTTTTATATAAAACAGTGTTTAATATATCTATAACATTAATGTTTGAAGGGTTTTAAGTAATATAAAACATATTTGTCAGTATGAAACACGGAAACGGAACGAATAATAACCGATTACGTTTTGTAATTTACACATCGTAAGCTGGTTTACGGTTGTCTTTTACTTTTTTGTATCATTTCATTCAAGCAGATACCAGTTTATTTTAATCAATGCATTGAAAAGAAACAAGAAATTTGTTATGAAGTGTTTAACTTTTAAATTTATCAGTTATAATTTGATATTGAATAAAAATAACTTAATATGGATTAGGTAAAATTATTAGTTTGAAAAATGATAAGAGCGCCCTCTACAATATCAATAACAAACATGGCGGAACGTAAACAAACCACCTCACGATTTTTTTTCTCTTATTTCTTGCTTATTGTACTCTATAGTCTGCACCCCTTCTGGCAGGTTCAATTTTGGAGAATAAAACCGTGGACTATACAAGCCTTTTAACGGTACTGCAGGGTTAAACCAGCTTAGATTGTCACCTGGTAGGAATGTTGCCCTGGGTGTGGGAGGTTCTGGGTTTGATCTATTGCAGGGTTAAACCAAAGATTTTTACATGAGTGTTTGCTACTTCTCTACTTCGCATGCAGTATTTAGGAGAAAAATGCTCAGTGTTAGAATAATGTTTATGGATGACATATATTCTTGATTATTGTTACCCTATTTGGTATTATATTACATGTACTTTGATATTACATGCCAACCAAGGTACTCATGAGTTTCTTCTAACTATATTCCCTAACTTAATAAGTGTTAAATATCTTTTGGTATACTTTATATGATTTGAATTTTGTCAGAATTGTTAAAAGAAATCAGCCTTTAACATAATTAAAAGTTAAAATTTGGTTAAGATGTAAACATAACAATACTTTTAGTGACCACAAGACAGCAAAATAGTCAATGTCAACCAGACTTATAAACTGTGTATTACAGTTTTTTGTATGATCCAAGGTACCATCACATCCCTTCAAATGTTAGTTTAATGGTTTTTTTTATTGATAACAGAGTAACACCAAGTCAAAATAAACTGTTGACACAGAGATATGTCTCATTTATCAGCATAAAATTCAGAAAAAGACAATCTGATCGACAGCAACATTGCTTATCATTTCAGTCACTGGACTATGGTTTAGTGGGCAGGGCCTGAAAATGGTCGACAAACTGAGATGTACAGACAGTAATGTAACTTTATAGAAAAATATTGTTGTTCACTGCAAGTAGTTCCTAAATCAGTAAATAGTCCGCACCCCCTTCTCCCGACGAAATTTCAGGTAAAAAAACTTTTTGTAACTGTTAGAAAAGGTCTAATGAAACTCCGGTAATTTCAAATCGTGCATGGTCGTTTGCTGTATTTTTTTGGAAAAACCTGTTTTCCTTCATCAAACAGAAGCTGAAACTGCTTGTAAATGATTCAAGAACACTTCATGATTGTTAAAATAAGTCTAAATCACATCAAAAACAATTTAGAAACTTGTGTATGTTTAAACCGGAAGTTTGAATAGCATGTGTAAAAGAAGAAAAAAAACAGTGAGAGTCGAAATCCGTACATCATAGATATCACTATAATACGACTTTGAAAGTAAAACAGTTCCATTTTTATATAAAACAGTGTTTAATATATCTATAACATTAATGTTTGAAGGGTTTTAAGCTAATATAAAACATATTTGTCAGTATGAAACACGGAAACGGAACGAATAATAACCGATTACGTTTTGTAATTTACACATCGTAAGCTGGTTTACGGTTGTCTTTTACTTTTTTGTATCATTTCATTCAAGCAGATACCAGTTTATTTTAATCAATGCATTGAAAAGAAACAAGAAATTTGTTATGAAGTGTTTAACTTTTAAATTTATCAGTTATAATTTGATATTGAATAAAAATAACTTAATATGGATTAGGTAAAATTATTAGTTTGAAAAATGATAAGAGCGCCCTCTACAATATCAATAACAAACATGGCGGAACGTAAACAAACCACCTCACGATTTTTTTTCTCTTATTTCTTGCTTATTGTACTCTATAGTCTGCACCCCTTCTGGCAGGTTCAATTTTGGAGAATAAAACCGTGGACTATACAAGCCTTTTAACGGTACTGCAGGGTTAAACCAGCTTAGATTGTCACCTGGTAGGAATGTTGCCCTGGGTGTGGGAGGTTCTGGGTTTGATCTATTGCAGGGTTAAACCAAAGATTTTTACATGAGTGTTTGCTACTTCTCTACTTCGCATGCAGTATTTAGGAGAAAAATGCTCAGTGTTAGAATAATGTTTATGGATGACATATATTCTTGATTATTGTTACCCTATTTGGTATTATATTACATGTACTTTGATATTACATGCCAACCAAGGTACTCATGAGTTTCTTCTAACTATATTCCCTAACTTAATAAGTGTTAAATATCTTTTGGTATACTTTATATGATTTGAATTTTGTCAGAATTGTTAAAAGAAATCAGCCTTTAACATAATTAAAAGTTAAAATTTGGTTAAGATGTAAACATAACAATACTTTTAGTGACCACAAGACAGCAAAATAGTCAATGTCAACCAGACTTATAAACTGTGTATTACAGTTTTTTGTATGATCCAAGGTACCATCACATCCCTTCAAATGTTAGTTTAATGGGTTTTTTTTATTGATAACAGAGTAACACCAAGTCAAAATAAACTGTTGACACAGAGATATGTCTCATTTATCAGCATAAAATTCAGAAAAAGACAATCTGATCGACAGCAACATTGCTTATCATTTCAGTCACTGGACTATGGTTTAGTGGGCAGGGCCTGAAAATGGTCGACAAACTGAGATGTACAGACAGTAATGTAACTTTATAGAAAAATATTGTTGTTCACTGCAAGTAGTTCCTACCAATATAACTTAAGCAGAAAAAATTAACATTGAAAATTTGAAATTAATTCAAAGTCACTGGACCATGTCCTAGGGGGCAAGGCCTCAAAATAGTTGTCAAATTGATATGTACTGATAGTAATGCAACTACATACAAAATATTATTGATCTATCACAAGTAGATCCTATCAAACTAACTTAAGCGGAAAACTTAACATTGAAAATTGCTTATTAATTCAAAGTCACTGGACCATGACTAGGGGGCAGGGCCTCGAAATAGTCGTCAAACTGATATGTACTGATAGTAATGCAACTTCATAGTAAATATCAATGATCTATCACAAGTAGTTCCTATCAAACTAGCTTAAGCAGAAATCTTAACAATTGTTGACGCCTTAGCCGGAGCAGGAGTCCCTGGAAAAGCAATCCCTATGTCTTGCTTTTCGCGACTTTTGTCCCAGGCGAGATAAAAAATTTTGAAATCAAGAGGACATTTCATGGAATGTGACCTGTACTAATTAAAACACTACCAAACATTAGTAAAAAATAAACAATACAAGCTCACCATTTTCTTTAACATCAGTCTTATCTTCTTCAGTCTGACCCCCTTCAGCTGCCCCTCTGTCTTCCTCCTTTTCTGTCACTGGTTCATCTGATGGTTCTATAGACTCATGACTCTGATCTGCACTCTGAGATTCAGTTTCATCATCTGAAAAATTGGCTGGATGTTTTTACAACTGCAAATTTAAAATTTCTTAAAATCAAGGGGACACAGATTTTGTAGACTTTGCTAACTTTGTTAGCTAGACAACAGTTAATTTAATAATATTTTACTTCAATCATTTGATTATTCTCCTTGAAAACAATAAAGGAGACACTTTCCTTTCTACTTTTTCTGAGTTTGGCTAGAATACTGTCAAATGAAGAATAATTTACAAAACTTTTGTTTACTGCGATTTCTCATGTGTGGTTTTGACCTCCATTCCTGCAATGACTTTAATTACCTTTAATGTAATGCAACATCATGGACCTATGTATTTTTGGCAAACAAAAAATAGCATCTTAGCATTGACATAGCAGCACAGTTAGCAGAATAGACAGTTTATCATTGATGTATTTTGAGTTATTTCCCTTGCCTCCAATGTCGGAGGTGTAACTGGTTGATATTTTTATTTGAATAACCAAATTTAAACATGTTGTCCAAGCAAGTCTGATAAAAGATAAATACTAGAATGTAGTGATGAATTATACATCTCCTTTTTAAATCAATTATCTTAAAAAAATAAAAATTGTTCAGAAAACTTTGTTTGAAGCCAAGCGGTATGTATAACAAGTTATACTTGGTTGGTTTATGATGGAATGTTAATATTGCCCTTGGTACCCTCCAACATTGTAGGTTAATGAAATAACAAACTCAAATTATGGCAATGGAAAACAAATTATAAGAAATTAAAGCATTCTGAATATTTTTTTACTGTATATGCAAAATAATGTAAAGGTAAATAATAATCTTCACAATGACATCGTGTTATTCTCATTCTAGTTCACAAGGACATCGTGTTATTCTCATTCTAGTGAATGAAACATTTATAATCCTTTATTTTCTAAAAATGATATGCAAATTAATTAATTGAGATATAATTGGGTAGAACAAATATATCATGTTAGTACCCTGGTAATGCTGACAGCTGCAGGAGGCCATTCATGCTGAAAAGCAGACTTAATGACACCATAAAAACATACATAATTCAAAATGTTTTCAAATGAATATCCTTTATTTATATAAGTTCACCTTCTCAAAGTGTCTATTTCGATATTAAGTCAAAGTCTTTATATTATTTAAGGAATTACTGTAATATTTTGTCCGTCTATGAAGAAATAACATCAAAAATGCTGTGAACACTGAATAACCCGCGTAGCGGGTTATTTTAAAGTGTGCACCACATGGTCGTTTGCTGTATTTTTTTGGAAAAACCTGTTTTCCTTCATCAAACAGAAGCTGAAACTGCTTGTAAATGATTCAAGAACACTTCATGATTGTTAAAATAAGTCTAAATCACATCAAAAACAATTTAGAAACTTGTGTATGTTTAAACCGGAAGTTTGAATAGCATGTGTAAAAGAAGAAAAAAAACAGTGAGAGTCGAAATCCGTACATCATAGATATCACTATAATACGACTTTGAAAGTAAAACAGTTCCATTTTTATATAAAACAGTGTTTAATATATCTATAACATTAATGTTTGAAGGGTTTTAAGCTAATATAAAACATATTTGTCAGTATGAAACACGGAAACGGAACGAATAATAACCGATTACGTTTTGTAATTTACACATCGTAAGCTGGTTTACGGTTGTCTTTTACTTTTTTGTATCATTTCATTCAAGCAGATACCAGTTTATTTTAATCAATGCATTGAAAAGAAACAAGAAATTTGTTATGAAGTGTTTAACTTTTAAATTTATCAGTTATAATTTGATATTGAATAAAAATAACTTAATATGGATTAGGTAAAATTATTAGTTTGAAAAACAAATTATAAGAAATTAAAGCATTCTGAATATTTTTTTACTGTATATGCAAAATAATGTAAAGGTAAATAATAATCTTCACAATGACATCGTGTTATTCTCATTCTAGTTCACAAGGACATCGTGTTATTCTCATTCTAGTGAATGAAACATTTATAATCCTTTATTTTCTAAAAATGATATGCAAATTAATTAATTGAGATATAATTGGGTAGAACAAATATATCATGTTAGTACCCTGGTAATGCTGACAGCTGCAGGAGGCCATTCATGCTGAAAAGCAGACTTAATGACACCATAAAAACATACATAATTCAAAATGTTTTCAAATGAATATCCTTTATTTATATAAGTTCACCTTCTCAAAGTGTCTATTTCGATATTAAGTCAAAGTCTTTATATTATTTAAGGAATTACTGTAATATTTTGTCCGTCTATGAAGAAATAACATCAAAAATGCTGTGAACACTGAATAACCCGCGTAGCGGGTTATTTTAAAGTGTGCACCACATTTTTTATGTTATTTCGATTAGACAGAAAAAATATTACAGTCATTTCTTATAATTTAATTCTTAATTCCATTTTAAACCGGAGTAAATCATGAAAAAACGTTGATGACGTCGCGGTCATATGACAAAATTATGTCTATGAGCTGATAAACAAAACAACGTCAGCCAATCGGAAGACGCATTACATCCAAAATTAAATTATGTAAGAATAATGTATCAAAAACATGCATAACTGTGTATTCTGTTTTGGTCTATACAACAAACATTTATCCAGCATTAAAAAAACCAAAACATAACACCAACATAGATAAGGTTGCTTCAACCAACAGGTTAAATATAACAAACAAGCACATGCATACTTAACAAAACATAAAATACTTCAGGTGAAGGAGATATCATACTAAATAAACTGTAATTATTTTAAACATCCTCAAAAATATATTCCAGGGTTTGTAAGGGTTAAGGAATGACAATACAAAGGTATATGATAAAGGATGCAAGGATTTTATTACACTCAATGTGGGAGGAGAATTTTTATACATTTAGTATGAAATCTTAATAACAATCACTTTTCTTACTTTCTGAAGGTTTAACAACAGCTGCAACATAAAAATAGAAACTAAATGCTGTAAGCTGTTTAAAAAGCACAACAAGCTTCTGATATTGCTTTGAATATTTGTAAAATATCTTTGTGCTTTTTCAATGTTAAAAGCAAACATCACATTCAACACTTTTAAGCATCAATTTAAAGTTATCAGAATAAAATAACCCAGTATAGAAGAAAAAGATAAAACAATTTAAAATCTGGTGTAGGTTGCTATACATATGACATGTTAAACAGTCACTGAATTGCATTTTTTCAACTACATTATAATTGTCACTGTAATATTTGAGGAGTTTTTTACTTTTCATTATATTACATATTGTATTCTGCTGATGAAGATTATATGTAGACCTCTAGATGACTTTCAGTTACTTTTGTCATTGGGTTACTGTCTCATTAATGTAGACCCCACATCACTTTTTATTAATATCCATTTCAAAAATAGTATATACCTGTTGTATCATCAATATGAATATCAGCTTTAATCTTCGTCTTCTCATGTGGCTCCTCAGTTTTATCTTCTGATTCTGTAGCTGTCTCTGGAATTGTCTCCCCTGTCTGATCATCCTTAACTTCCTCTTCCTGTTCACTTTCTTCAGTTTCTTCCTCTTCTTCATCATCTTCTTCTTCTTCTTCGTCGTCTCCATTTTCATCCCCTAGCATAAAAATATTAAAGACAATTAAGTACTGCTAATCTCAAATAATTTTTGTTGATTATATTTTGTATCAACCGTAAGCTATTTTAAATAAAATGTCCACTGTCAGCAATAATTTTTAAAACATTTGTAATGCTGTCCTACTTTAAAAATTTACCATGTTTATTGAAATTGGGGATAAATTTCTATTTCTTGAATTGATCTTGAGTTCTTTATTTCCTAGAACACTTTCTCTTCTTAATCACATTGCTGTCAACATAATTCACCAAGTTGTATATACCATTAGTTCAAGTATTTTGTATAAACAAATTATAATTTTTATAAGAAACAAAGAAAAACTTTTTTATGGTCTTACTTCTTAAAATTTTATTATGAAAATTTCCAAATACACAAAATGTGTATCGTAAACAAAAAATAACATATATAAAAATACACTTAAAGAAGAGTAAATAAAAATTAGCAAGAAGTTATTGCAGAAATGTCACCTGTGTCAAAGAAAAAAGGAAAGTACAAATGTCAAATGAAAAGATAAATGATAATGACAAAAATAAATCAAAAGTGAAATTAACCAACACATGTTTTTCTACATCTGGAAAAAAATAAACAGATGGTTAAAATAAGAGATTATATGAAACAACATCTGACAACAAATTTTAACCTTCAGCCCTCTTATCTAAATTTTCAGTCATATTATCATGCTCCATATTAGAATCTGTCTTTTCTTCATTTTCAACTACTAAGTCCCCAGCAGCCATACTGGCTAGAACACTACCATCTTCCGTAACTTCAAGGTCACTTTTAACAGAGATACTGGATAAGGTTGATGAGGATTCCTTTGTTTGAAGGTCAAGGTCAGTTGGAGTTTTATTGTCTGTTTTTCCCAGAAGACCAGTTTTTGGAGAATCACCATTCGGGGGATTTAAAAGAGGACGCAAGTTTTGAAGGAGTCCAGTAGCTGAGGAATATTAAATTAAATTCAATCAGCATGTTCTTCTATAACTCACAAGAAATTGTAGAAGAATCAAAATTTCTCATAAATTAAAGAAAAAAGCCAAATACTATAATTAATGCAGTAAAAGCTGTACACTGATCTGATTACTGGCTAGCATATACATGCTATATACGGTATGTAAAAAGAAACATTATTGAGTTTCCAAGAATAATTTTCATTTAACTTTTGTAGATAAAAAAAGAGAAGATTTAAGAGAAGCTCAAAGCAGAAATCTTTAATACATCAATGATCTTCTCCCCTTGAAGTTCTAATTATATGAGGCAAAGTATAACAAGTTCATTTGACTTCTATAAATCTTTTTCACTAAATCCCTGTATATATTAACATTGAAAAATGTGCAAAAATATCAATTTGAGAGACTCAGTTAAATATCTGAGTATCATAATTATATATGAATAAGAAACACACTAAGTACACTGAAAATGATATGTAAGCTGGTAATCCAATCATTATGTTTACATATGCTTTTAAAAAGAGAAATCCTAGTAAACAAAATAAAATTACGAAAGAGAATTTATGTAAATAATTTAAGTAATGGAGCAAAAGTCCAGAAAACAATTTTCCAAGTCTGTATGACCAATTGAATAATATTGCATAAGGGCTGTTCCATAAAAACATTCATGGGACCCAGGGAAAGCACTTCCAAATCTCAACTATGGGTGGGTGTCATCTATGTTTTTGCATAGTGGAAATGCAAGTGAAATCTGAATTTGCCTGTATAGGTGGTTACCCCATTTTTAAAGTGCCTTCCCTGGGTACCATGTATGTTTAAATGGAACAGCCCTAGCCAGAGAAACAAGAAACTATGTTCACTGGACACCATGCCCTCTCCACACATATACATTTTTATGTTCACTGAGCCGCAAAAGTTGGGTCAAATCCCTAATTTGGAATGTATTTTTAAAAGTTTACATCATAATAAACATGTGTACTTAGGACAACAACTTCATGGTAACCACCTTAACTCAAAACTTTAACCTAATGAGGGACAGACAAACAGATGGAAAGACTGACGCACAGACTTGAAAACACAATGCACTCAATTATTTAAGGCATAGCATAAAAATATCTTTCAAAAATATTTATAGAAGTAAAATTATCAATAGTGATATCTGAATAAATGATGAGACATTCTAACATAATTATTGGTTTGCACAGCTAGCATGTTATGTCATTTTATATCAAGCTATAGATTCCATGTATTAGTCGATCCACATCCTAAAATATACTTTAAAATTACCTTTTCTTTCTGCACTTGCCAGCTTCTCAATTTCTATGAGCACTAAGTTATTAAAAGTTACCAATAAACAGAATTTTCAGTACATAAAACAATTTAACTTCTACTTTTTCATATTTTTCCATTGTTACAACAGAAATCTAGTTTATTGCAATTTGGATTTCTACTAATTTTAATAACTGAATATGATTTTTGAGCTTGTAAAAAGAACAAGGACTTAATGTCTGTTTGGTGAACCACAAAATTAATACCTTTTTTTTATTTAGGTTCAATTTTTATTCAATAACAATCTATTTTAGATCAACAGAATTTTTTTTATTTTACATGTAAACAACAAAATAGACTTGACTTATCAGTATAGATGGATTAGTACTTAAAATTATTGTCTATTGCTTGCAGTATATTGCTACTTGGTATATTTCTACACTCACAATACCTATTTATCTAAATTTCAACATGCTTACTCAAGTAAAGTTATAACGAATCTAGTAGTAGAACATGGTTTTGAAAACTTTAACAAATGTTCTTGCAAATGGTTGACTCAATTTAGATTGTTACATAATCTTTTGATATAATTCACCATTTCATAAGGGTTATATTTTCAAAAGCATACACTAGAATGTTGTGATTGGTTAAAACCCTTGTAAACCATGGAAATTCAACCAAAGATGTGATGCTTTTCACGTTTTGGGGTACGAACAATTAAATTACCCATACTAGTCTTGTAGATTCTAAAAACATCAAATTTTGAGTTGATGAAATCAAATTTATCCAATTAAAAAACATCTTTAATCAGGTAACTCTACCTAAAAGCTTTGCCTGTCAAGTATGGCACATGAGCAATTTTGATTTAAACTGTGCTTAATTTAATCTTTTGTTGAACTAAAAATGTTTTCATATCTGTATTGACGTGCACATATTGATTGTCAAGTTTGACTTACCAGAGTGAGAAGTAAAAGACTGTCTGTGTGTACTAGAAGTGGGCGTGGCAGCTGGACTTGGTGGTTCCAGGATATCTCTATACTTGGACACCATTAACACAGAGGTGAAGTAAACAATAGCCAATGCTAGGAACTGTGCTTGTTTCGTTTCCTCCTTGTTAAATAGACACACTAACTAGTAAAATGATCAATTAAATTTTTTTCTATCTTTAATTTCTGAAACACTTCAGATGATTTACAAAAATCAACCCCGAGTCATCTTGAGTTAATTTTCTTGACCATGTTCGTGTACGTCTTTGATGTTAGTCTCTAGAATTTGATAATGTTTTAGGATATAATATAATCTGGGTTTCTCTGTTACCTTCTATGTTATACCAAATTTATTAGTCAATCAATTTCACCTGACTGGCTATGATTTAAATAGATCATAAGTGAGAAAATTAACTTCCTTAAATCATTGTTTGATTTCCAATATTAACTTATACAATACTTTTCACTATATCAATGTATTACACATAAAAATTTTCAACAAACCTGTAAAAACAGAATCCCAAATAATTTTTTTTTATGTTCAATGTTCTTCAAACATGTTGCAATTAATTTTTTGCCAAAAATTGTGAAATTAATTTGTGAAAAAGTAAAGATTAATTTTATCAAGTGAACACTTTTATGCCTCTACTTATTCTAAGTTTTTTGCTATATATAAACTTGTCTTTTTAAGGTAATATTTGATTTAAGCATCCATAATTTAAATTTCAAATCAATTATCATAGTAACCATTACAAAAAAGGAAAGTAAACTCCAATCAAAACTCACCACATCTCTATAAACAACTGCCCTTAGTCTGTTAATATCCATGTCTTGTAGTAGTCTATCATAATCCTTTATTGGTGATACACTCTCATTCAGATTCTCTACAATGTTCTGAAAAACAAGAAACAATCTCATTTGTGTATTTGCATGATAGAAACAAGTATTTTTCTTTGTTTCACCATCAAACTGGAAGATGATGTAATAAGTTCGGGTCACACTTATCAACGTCAGTTCATTCATTGTGACATCGGTGATATGTCTGGGTCAAAGTCATTAAGGCCAGGTCAACATATTTGACGTCACAAAGCCCTGATATGCAATTTTATGAAGAGCTGATGAACAGAGTGATACAGACAGTGGGAACACGGAGAAAAGAGAAATTTTGTTTAGTGAAAAAAAGAAAGTTATACCGTAGAAGAAAGTATTCTATTTCTAAATATATAGTGCAAAATTAAGTCTTCCATTTTTTGTAATTTTCATTACCTTTATGTTCAATAATAGTAACTTCTTGAACATGGATGTAATATTTGCTATTGGACAATAGAAAACCCATTCTCAATTTTAACCAATAATAAATCAGACAGATGTAAGAATTTGTTGCTTACCTTTTCTGTAGGATGTGATGCCATGATAAGAGCTTGTATGGGGTCAACTCCATTAACAACCTGGCTCTGACCTCTCATCGATCCTGACCTTGATCTTTCTGAAGGTGTTGAGGCACTAGTTGGCGTCTTTGGGGCCTGTCTATGTCGACATTCCAAGCAATTTCTAACTGTTGATGTGCATACTGAAAATAGTTCAATATTCATTTGACTTTGTTACTTGTTGTATATTATTTATTTATTTCTCTTATAATGTATCTTAAAACAGGTTACAGTTAAGAGTCAAAGTTCATTTCTTTTTAGATACTTAATAGCTTGTTGCAGTTTATTCATGGGATATTAATTTTTAAGGATATCTTGGGTATAGATGAACCATGCATTAAGGGTTTAACAAAATATAAATTTATTTAAGACATGAAGGCAAAATTTTTCAAAACCATAAAAGAGGATGGTAAAGGGTTATTTTCGTGCAACGTGTTTTGCCATTTTTATTTCACGTGCAGCCGTGAAAAAGGTTCGTTATTCACTGTGTTTCGTGAAATCAGTAAAAAGATCAACGTGCAAGAAAATTTTAATTATTCGTTCATCGTGAAATGGCAATTTTCGTGCAGATACCCCCCTTTACGCCCCTCATAAAATTAAGTATCTATGAAAATACATTTTTTCCTCAATCCATGAACAACCCACAAAATTTGAATACAAATACTTCTGTATATATTTACATATATAATACTAAAATTCATGTTGAGTGTATATGAAAGAAATGTTACCTAATCTTAGGCACTGCCTCAGAATCCCTCCTGTTGGCATATTCTTCTCTTGTTCTAACTCAGCAAAGTTTGTAGAACTGGCAAATACCAAGATATCTGTCATGTTCATCACACGATTCAGTATGGATACAGCTTGTTCTATAGATAAACCTTGGGTAGGTTCTAATAACTCTACTTCTCCCTACAACATGTTAAAGACAAGTTTCTAAATTTATAAAATTGTATAAAAGATTAAACTTTATTTTGGTTTAATGGTTAACACAATAATGAAGTAGCCATAGCATCAATGAATTCATATCTATCTATACTGGTTACATTCGACTTCATATGTGTAATACAAATATCCATATGCATGTAATTTTAAATCTTAGAATATATCCTGTAATCTTTGTCATAGAAACATTAATAGTAAGATGCTTTTTCAGTCCTTAACTATCCATTATGACCAATTTTACTTGTGAGATTTTATTTCAAAGGCTGCAGGATAAAAAGTTATTGTCCAACTGTCAATAGAACATACAATCAAGAGGCACATTATTTTACTGCATCTACCATTCTCTTCTAGCACAGCTAATGAAAAGAAATGTCAAACATGTAATGACTGAACAGGTTTTGAAGACTGCCAAATTCTGAACAAATTATTTAAGTTGAAAGAAAATCCATATTATATGCCTAATCTTTTTAAGTTCACTCTTAGTAACACTTTGATTAAAAGAAATTCACCATCTCTGTTCAATTTATACACAACTCTATCTCTTGGAACTTGCTGTATGATCTTTGTGCTTGCCCTGTTGTGCATTATTGAAGGTCATAAGTTGACCTTTAAGGTTAATTTTTATAAACTAATGTTGAGTTACTGGCTTATTCACATTTCACTCCTGAATATGCATGAAATATTTGCCACTGAACATTAAGCAACCAACAATCAATCAATCACACATCTTTTATTCTCATGTAATTCTAACTTATCAATATTTACATTACTTTTTTATACCAAATCAGAAGAATGTCAATTCTTTTGAACTGAGTTGCTGTTAACAAAAATATAGTCTATAACTACTTACATTAGGTGAAGTAGAAGCAGCTAACAAGGGAAGTAATCCACCACAGGAAGTGATTAAATTGTCTGCCAGCTGTGATATCATATGTGTCACATTGACAACATAAACATGGTTCTCACCAGCATTTACAAAGTCTATCACAGTTTTAGTACTATGGCTGCAAATGAAGAAAGGTTAATATATTTAATCTATAAATATTAAAAATCCATACATTCAATGTTCATGGAGTTGTTTGCTGTAATGAAATGAAATCCATAGTTCAAACATTTTATTTCACTTTTGTAGTGACCAAATCTTTTTTTTACAATTCCTGATGAATAATTTTTAATCTATCTATAGCTCAGAATACAGTAAATAAAAAACAATACACACATACAAATCTTAAACAAGTTATAACACAGATGTATAATGTCATTTGTTAATAATACGTCAATAACTTGATCAATTAGCTTGCATTAAAGAAGTAATGTGCCTGTTATAAATTAAAAATTCAGTTCAATAAGTATTTGTTTAGATGCTGACAAATGAGATAATTTAAAACCTATTTTAACCTGAAGTAGCATCTGTGACGAGTGAACCAACACCTTCTAACGGAAAAGCTGGTAGAGTAACCAAGATGGATACCGAAGTATGCTGCGGTTGTCTTAAAACCTCATGGAAATATAATATGTAGAGACAACAACATCTGGGTTACCGCAAGGTGATAGTTTTATTGAGTCTACATGTTTCGCCACTTACGGTGGCGTCTTCAGGACAATTTAAACATAGAAAACAAATACTGAAGTAGCATCTGTTTAAATTATATCTAGTTAGTTGGAATATTGTTCGTGAGACTAGGAAAAAAATAGTTTACATGTACAGCATCATTAAGTGAATTCATACCTTTTCCAAACTTGAAGGTCTGTTTCTATAGAAAACAGCAAATCTGATAACAATTTCTGATGAAGGCCTGACCATCTAAACTCAGGTATCCTAAAAGGTGGAGCCCTTGGTCCAGGGCTAAATATTCTTGTACTGTCTGTCCTCTGTACTGAGGCCTGCCTCCTAGGGTGTTCTTCAGTATCTGCAGTTTGTTCCTCCTCTATTTGCTGACTAGGTTTTTGATTTGTACTTTCTGAGGTTGGTTCTTGTGAATCGTTTGATTTTTTACCATCAACAATGTCAACAACATCATCTATAACTTCATTTAAAAATTGTTCAACTTGTTGCTGAGTATTCAATTCATCAATAGTCTCCCCTTGACTATTATTGCTGTCACCAGATGGTGCTCCTGATTCTGCCAATTCTTTTAAAGTAACAGTACTTTTTGGCAGAGGTTTTGCTATTTCTGCATCAGAGACACCAGATATTGTACTAACTGGGTAATGTCTTCGTTCAGCTGGGTCAAGGTCATCAGTTCTCTGTTTATCATATTCCTTGTACATTCTGGACATGTGAATCTTAAAATCTACGTAGGCTACCTGTAGATAAGCATTGTAGATTTTAAGAATGGACATAATTTAAAAGAACCATACAATAATATGGGAAGTATACCTCTAACATAATCCTGGTTTTTTTTAACTGAAAATTGTCTGTATAAACTTTCATTCAAAAAAAATTAACTCGTTTCTTAGTTTTCAAATTACATATATTGAACAAATAGACAAACTGCATAAAAACATTTTTAGATATATATACAGTCAAACCTGCCTCTAACAGTCACTTCCAGACCCTCCCAAGCGTTTTCTCTATATATTTTAACTCGTTTCAGCAGTCACCTGTCTAACGCGGTCAGCGGTCACCTAATTTTCGCACAAAACCGTCATTTCAACTGTTAACAACGTTCATTTTAATATTTTTAACTAACTCTAAATAATCAGGACGAAAAAGAAAACACTAAAACACTTTGACCCAATCCAGGCCGCAAGTGATGTCAGAATCGTAACAATTTGGAACCACGTTTAAAAGGTACCTCTCTTGAGCGGTCACTTTTGATACTTCCAAAGAGTGACTGCTTAATACAGGTTTGACTGTATGTATCTCCCCTATCTTTGGTAAATCTAAATGAAAAAGTCTTTCAGTAAAATTTAAACTGAATTCACATGTTCACACTTGTATACCAAAACATTAAGACTGGTTTACAACATTCTGAAAAGTGAAATTACCCATAATTCATCAATCCCTGAATTGCAGAATTGATGTTCCTTACCTTTGAATGTAGAATAGCTAATGTATCAATCCAAACTCTCCATCCACCATATTCATACTTAATGGCATGGTGTAATAACATCCTAAATAATGACATCACCATGTCTGTGATCTTAGCTTCCTCTTCATTTTGGGGATAAATGTATGCAAGAGAAAACAGCCAGTCTTGCCAGACAGACATCTGTAACAGTGTTCTGAAATACATCATTAACAGATGTAGTATACTTCTATCTTTGGGATCCTCGCTATTTTCATTGAAGTGTAAAAAGCCTCAGTTCATTTTCAACCAGTGTGATAATTAATTGATGTAATATGATATAGTATCTAAAATGTAGCTGTGTTTTGTCTTCTTATATATAAACATAATAGAATCAAGTGCTTTTTTCTGTTTTGTATTTTATTGTGCCTTTGATCAGACTCATTTGTTCTTATGTAACACATAGGCTTAACTGAACTATACTATCATGTATCTGTTCCCCAGTAAGTAGCTAGGCAATGGGTGTCCCTATTCCTTCATGTGTTTTGTCTACAATTTTTCAATTCAATCTTAGACACTGGGCATTTAATAGCATGCCACACATTGGTAAAGACCTTATAATTGCCTCTACCAGATGTCAACTTCTGAAAGAATTTTGTTGTTTGGTTGTTGTCATACTGATGATTACTCTATTTAAATGAAACAATGTTACAATCTTGTTTTTATGCCTTTCATTGTTAATCAATGAAAATATGTCAAAAATCATCCAATAGTTGAGATTATTTAATAATTTTTACAAAGTAGACTCAAAATTAACATAAGTGTCACTAGAGTAGCTATTTAATATTTTGAATGAAAATAAGTCAGGTTTTATTGCCTCTGTTTGATATTTAAATACAATTTGCAAACTTCTAAAAGAATGAATTTTTTACAATGTGCATAAGGGAAGGAGAAATACTTAAAACGCTTGAGTCTCATGCTTTGTTTATGCAATATGACATGTCTGTTATTGTATCCATGAATACACATACCTTACGTTTTCTCTGCTACTATTGACAGTAGAGGGAGATCAGACAAAAACTATCTTCTAATGTCCATTATTTCAATACACATACCTTACGTTTTCTCTGCTACTATTGACAGTATAGGGAGATCAGACAAAAACAATCTTCTAATGTCCATTATTTCAATATAATTACCTCCTGTTTTCTCTGTTATTATTGCACAGTATAGTTAGATCTGATAAAAACAGCCGCCTCACTTCCATTATTTCTGGTGTCATTTTACATTGTCTAATCATTGTAGCCACAACCTTCAGTATTGCTGAAATTATACATGTAACTGGTTAAAAATCTGACAATATACTATAATCTATCCAGTCAAATTTGTTCAAACCTTGTTATGATTTGTCCACCACATTATCTGTGACTTCTTATTTACATATTTGAATTTTTGTCAGATACTAGGTCTGAAACATTCCTTTGTCAAAATTTACACATCTAAACTGTAATATTATGACATCTTTATCATTGCAATACACAAACAACTTCAACTGACTCTAAAGACTACATCAATTCTAGACTTTTGAGGTAAACGCCATAACTTTTAAGTATGCTTAAGCTTCCATATCTTCAACATTTAATAGCTCATGCAAAATTGGTCACCATCCAGATCTTTTATATTGGGAAGCTTCAACTGCTATCTATGCATGATTGAGCTTAACTTTGTGTAAATTATGATTGCTTGATTGATTATTGGTGTTTAACGCTACTTTCAACAATCTTTGCTAAAAAAAACGGGAAAAGCATTATAACATATGCTTTTCCAAAGACTTTTTTATAATCCTAAGGGCATCGTCCTATAGCTAAAAATTCAAACTTGATCTGTGTTTTATGGTAATAAGCATTATGTATAAGTTTTATAACATTTGGTTTAGGCAAACTAAAGTTCGAGAAAGGAAACTAATTTTGAGATGTATGGATGGACGTATGGACGGACAGACAAGGGTAAGACTTAATGCCCCTCCACTGCGGCAGGGTAATAAAAATGTTCAAAATTGAAAGAAAGCTTAATTTCAGCAATGCTAACAATAGTGTAAAGTTTGAAGTAAATTGATCAAAGCATACTTGAGCTAGTGCTCAACATGTGAAAATTGCCATACATTTGACTGATCAAGTCCCATAACTTTGGAATAACAAACCAAAAAAAAAAATTATTTGAAAGGGAGATTTCTTCCATTGATTCAAATATTTCAAACAAGTTTCATGAAATTTCAAAATATAAAATCTACATTAGATAATTGAAAAATGATTATATTCAATATAATGATCTAACCGTACAACAATTTAAACATACTTACAAGAATTTTCTATTCTAAAATGTGATTCAGGATCTATTTGTCTCTCTGTTGTCATCTCTAAGGTAATTCTCTCAGTCAAAAGCTAAAAGTGAAATGTACATTTCCTAAGAAGTTCACCGAATGAAAATTGTTTTAATTTTGTGGCTAAGAAAATGTTTGTTTAAATGTAAGAATATTTTTTGAGGTAATAATCTCACAAATGGATTACATATGCAACATGTTCATATGCCTGTCTCAAATCAAAAACCATATCAGTGCTTGTTATTAATCATATCTCAATTGAACTTTTATCTTAATTAAATTTAGTGTTGATGGATGATCATTAATGCATACCACACATCTTTGAAATATACAGTGAAATATTTTCATATTATTTAACTTTCGTATAATTATGTATTAATGGACTGTATATTTATAGAATAAGGCTTATAATGTCTACTGAATATAAAGCAAAAGTCACATGGAAACTTCTTTTAGGATATTGTTTGAACACTAGTTCCTATTCATACCTCAAACAAAGCATTATATGTAGGTAATGTTATCCTTTGTTCATTTAACATCAATCTTTCACCCAGTAATGAGAACTGATTATAAGGTCCCATACATTCTTGTTTCCTCCTGAAAATGTAAATAATCATTATGTGTCATATAAGATAAGCTACAGTCATAGTTTAATTATTATTCTGTGTCCACTGATATAATAATTTTGCACTTCAATGTGTATTTAAGTTTACATATTGTATTGTTTTTAAATACTGTGGATTCATTTATTTTTGTGGATGCTGATTTTCGTGGATTAATGGAAAATTTGTAATTCGTTGAAATTTAATTTCGTGGATCACCTGTACCCACGAACTCCACGAAAATTGGTATCCAACAAATAATAATGAATCCACAGTAAACATATATTTTTCTCTTCCCTAATAGAATAATGTCCAATCCTTTCTACATGATGCTATGGTTAAATTTTGTAATCTGACAATTTGTCAAACATCATCACATTTCTATTCATTCTGCAGGATTTTTTTTAATAACACCTTCAGTTCTGTTTTGCATATATTTTACTTTATTAAGATTAGAAAAACCAAGAATAGTCAAATAAAAAATAGAATAAAACTAGAGGCTCTCAAGAGCCTGTGTCGCTCACCTGATTCTACTTTGGTTTTGGAAATCATGTTAGAATAGATTAAAATCATAACAGATACCCTAATAATGAGTGAGGCCAAATTTGGTTTAATATTGGCCCTGTAAGTTAATAAAAAATCCTGGTGGCCATCTTGAACAGTAAATCAGCAACAAAGTAGCAACACTTCATCAGCACCTCATAAGAAACATTTATGCCATGTTTGGTTTCATTCCATTCAGTGCACCTCTAGAAGAAGCATTTGTATGTATTTCCAATATGGTCTTATGTTAAAGGAAGTCCCCCCGCTTGCAGCCATCATGGATGAAGGATCAGCTTCAAAGTAACAACACTTAGTCAGCACCTCAAAAGGAACATTCATGCCATGATTGGTTTCAATCCATTCAGTGGTTCTCTAAAAGAAGACATTTGTATGTATTGTCCGTATGGTCCTTTGTTAAACACTGTCCCCAGCTGGTGGCCATCTTGGATGATGGATCGGCTTCAAAGTAACAATACTTGGTCAGCCCTTCATAAGGAACATTCATGCCTTGTTTGGTTTCATTCCATTCAGTGGTTCTCTAAAAGAAAACAATTGTAAATATTTTGCATAGGGTCCTATGTTAAACTAAGTCCCCCTCAGGCAGCCATCTTGGATGATGAATCGGCTTCAAAGTAACAACACTTGGTCAGCACCTCATAAGGAACATTCATGCTATGTTTGGTTTCATTCCATACTGTGGTTCTTTAAAAGAAGACATTTGTATGTATTTCCCTTAGGGTCCTATGTTAAACTAAGTCCCCCCGCGGGCAGCCATCTTGGATGATGGATCGGCTTCAAAGTAACAACACTTGGTCAGCACCTCATAAGGAACATTCATGCCATGTTTGGTTTCATTCCATACAGTGGTTCTCTAAAAGAAGACATTTGTATGTATTTCCCATAGGGTCCTATGTTTAACTAAGTCCCCCGCTGGCGGCCATCTTGGATGATGGATTGGCTTCAAAGTACCAACACTTAGTCAGCACCTCATAAGGAACATTCATGCCATGTTTGGTTTCATTCCATTCAGTGGTTCTCTAGAAGAAGTTCAAAATGTATAAAGTTAACGACGACGACGGACGCCAAGTGCTGAGAAAAGCTCACTTGGCCCTTCCGGCCAGGTGAGCTAAAAAAAAGGATATAAACTAGTGGGCCCCGTTGTGAATAATGTGTGGTAAAAAATTTGTATCTTCATCATTGGATGGGGTTGTCAACTGAAACCAAAGTTTTTGACCTTGACCTTTGACCAAGGAAGTTGTACATAAATTATGACACACCCTCTGGTGTTGGTTTATATACATGTCAAGTATAAAATTTGAAATCATAACGGTTCTCAAGATATAGAGCGGACACGATCTTTACCATAGGACATGGGGTTGTCAACTAAAACCAAAGTTTTTGACCTTGACCTCTGACCTAGGAAGTTGTATATACCTTATGACACACCCTCTGGCGTTGGTTAATATACATATCAAGTATAAACTTTGAAATCATAACGGTTCTCTAGATATAGAGCAGACACAATTTGTTACAAATTTGTTTTGTCCGCCATTCGGCGGGGCCCTAATTAATGCTGAACTAAGAACATCTACCAGCATGAATAAAGAAAACATAAACAATAGACTTGGAATATAACATACTGTGTGCAAGAAAGGTGAAAGTCAAGGTTATCATCATACAATGAGACCATTGAAACAGAAAATTGTCATCAGGTATTTCTCTATGAAGATTCTACTTTAATAACCAAATTTTATATAAAATCATAAATTATCACAAGTACAACACTTACTTATGGGTAGCTCTCATCAGGAAAAATCCCATTAACTTTAAGGCCTGTATTCTCAGTCTTTCTGATGGTGATGCTAATAGTTTGAAACAAGTCCTATAACAAATAAAAATATTGAAAGTTCATATGCACTACTATTTTTTCCAATGGTCAAAACATAGGGCTGTGCGGCATATTTTCAACATTTATATGCCCCAAACTTCTAAGAGTTTAAACTTACACTTAAATTCGGTACTACCCCTCCTTTCACTTCGGGTCTTCATCAGAATTCAATTTGGCTGCTATCCATGTGTATTTATACTGATAATATTCCCAAGTTATGTTTCTATGAGATGAAACATAGAGACCATATCTGGGATCCAGTAAGTAAACAAAACAAAATATCTATGAATATTATATATCTCCCCAAAAATCGTGGTTTGTGAGCCAGCTGTATTTACAAAGTGTAACCTTCAGATGGCTTTGCCTTAGAGCTGTTCCATTAAAACATATATGATACCCAGGGACGGTAATTTGAAAATAAAGAAACCAATAATAGGGGAAATTTTGGAATTTCACATCACCTATACCGAAATCCCGATTTGACTAAAGGAAACTTAAATTAAATGTAACCATTACAGCAAAATGACTTGAGTGTGTTAGCTTGCTTGCTAGCTGAACCGTGATATCATTATTAGGTTAGGTATACTACCCTCCTTTCGGAGTAGTCTAGTCCTACAGACAGATAGATTGGTTATCTTTCGGACTAGTCTTCTCTTAAAGGAGGGTAGTATACTTCACGGTTCAGCTAGCAAGCAAGCTAACCAAAGATATCACCTTTGCCTACACACTCAAGTCATTTGGCTGTAAAACAGGATGAGCACAACCCCAGTCCCTGTAGAAGACATTGTACAAGTTTGGTTAGTTTCTTTTGAATGGTATAGGAAAGGTGGAACATTTACAAAGTAGAAAACAAAATGCTTAAAAAATTAAAGATAATCAAAGTCTTATATTAATCCCTTATTTATAAACTTTATAACAATAACTTTATCATGTATGCACATATGAGCAAAAGCTTTTTATCGCATAATTGTATATAAATCTCAGTTTATTATGTCACTGGGTATAGCTTAAAATTAATTGTACTATAAATACAAATGCTACAGAAAATACCATCACATATAAACTAGACCTATCAGAGACTAAAACATCTGTATAAGCATATGCTATAAATTTCCAAATAAACTTACTTAATTCCAGCTTTCTTGTCAAATGCTGGTACCATAGACATTGGATGTTCTGCCATAAGTGCTGTGGTTAACTGGAGGACATCCATTAAATTATCATCCTGAAATAAAAACTCAATAATAAAGCATATATATTATCAGGACTTGGCACAACTTTGGGGAATTGTCGTTTATTAATACCCTAACTTAGTAACTTTGATTTGGCTTTTCAACTGTATTGATTGGAGCGCCACTGATGAGTCTTATATTGACAAAACATGCGTCTGGCGTACCAAATTATAAGCCTGATGAGTTTATATGATCAGGATTTCACCAGCAATTAAATATGTGAATTCTGCCATGTTCTACTGGTTCAAGTATTTTCAAAGTTCCAGGTCTTATGTTTGTGTTGTAATTCTTTTCTCATTGGATTTCTGATGTCCTGTTCAAAATAATCTGCATATGGTGGTAATTGATTCCAACTTTTTATTATGCAGCTGCCTCACCACTTCAGAAATCTTTATTCAAACTCAATACATACCATCATTTTACTTTTTGAAGTATGTACACATATTTTCACAATTTGAGATTCAACCTGAGATTTTTTAAACACTTGACCTTTTGATGTCAATCAATAATCTATTTTCCTCTGTAAAGTCAACCACTTTCCTTTAAAATGTCAAAATGTTTGGGGAAACATCTGATTTTCAGTAAGGGATGTTCCAGTATTAAATGCATGGGGTCATGGGAGACACTTTTTTAAGACCCAAACCACCATTGCAATAAAACTATTCATTTTGCTTATAATTCTTACAAAATTCTACGGAGAATGCAACCACAAATATTTAATTAATTTGAGTGCCTCCCATCTCCCCACCTGATAAATTTTGTTCCAGTCCTAATGGCAAACAAATAGTAATAAAGTGTATTAAACTTCTTAATTAAGCTTACCTCATGTAATGTAGTAAGATAGTTAAGTATACTCTGTAGTTCATCTTCTTGCACACCCTGTCCTTTCAGTAACAGCTGTTTGACATACAGTAACATGAAAGACCTCAGTTTTACTATCTCATCATAGGTGGGCCTTGGTCCATCTGAATAAGATTATAATATTTCAATTCATGTATACTTTACTAAATCTGAATTACTGTTTTAATTTCAAAATATTTTCTTAAATTTAAGAATAAATTGGTCTTAGAAGCAAATATGAAAAATATCCTATAAGAATTCAATCGTGTATTATTCTCTGGCTTAATGATAAAAAAAATTACATGTCTTTTTATCTTTGGATGTGCTGTTGGATTGTTGTCCCAAAAATGTTTATGTCACCTCTCCTTTCAAACCCCATCTGGTATGGAGTATAGTTATTTAAGCATTTATTTTTAATGTAATATATCTAAAAAATTACTGTATAATTAATACTATATATATATGTATATGTTGGAAACGGGCCCTTTAATTGGATTCAATAAATATTCTTATTCTTCTTATTCTTATTCCTTTTAATTAACTGGCTTTATTTTAATAATATCATGGTATCTAGAGCAACTGGAAAATTCCTTTTTGGGGAACATTCTCCTTTTACATACCACATAATAAACCAGGTTTGAAATGAACAGATTTTTTTACATTGCATGCAAAACAAAACAATATTTCAATATGCAGAAAATATTTTCTGTTTCTAAGTGGTTCACATATTAAATTATTATATCTAGGTACATTTTATTCATTTATATATGTATTTATAAATCTAACACTTAAACTTACCAACACCTCTTGGAGTGATACCGCTTCTGTCTTTTGGGTTAACAACCCAGTAATAAAACTTTAATGTATGCATAGTCTGTAACACAGCACTAACACGTCTTATGTTGTTATAGATATGGCCATTACTTATAAAATCTGTAGCTAAGTAACAATATAACTTGGTCTGTACCTGAAAAATCAAAATATTATTTACTATATTGTTATTTATTTTACAATTGCATGTTACCATAGTGACCTGTAAATAAATCATATGAAGTGCCTTCAACCTAACCCTCCTTTATATATTTCATTTTCTGGACTAGTCTTATATAATTTATTTACAAAATAGTACATGTAAACTTTGGTAGTGTTTTGGAATGATAATAAATATCTTAACTATAGGGTTTGATCAAATACCTTGTAAGGTGTGTAGGTAGTTATTCATCCTTGGCTTTCAATTAGTATTCCAGATGAAGGTAAATCAAGAAAAGTGCTTTGTACGCAACAAATTCAGGGGTTAAAAAATCCACTAGCCCGACGCCCGGAACTTGAGCATTTACGCCTTGGGCAATCAAAATGTTTAACCCAATATGCCCGACGGACTAGTAACAAAAAATTCTTGGCGTTTCCTAAATAGAAAGTGGAAAATCCCTTCATCACTATTCTATCTTAGCCAATCAGATTCAATTACGTCATCCGGGATTCCAAGAAATTGAACTGGTTTGTACAGGTCCTGTTGTACATATTTTAAAAATAGAACAAATAACTCTGGGTGGCCAGGTATCATGTTTTGATCGCAATTCTCATACTTTAAATATCGATTACTCAGTACAACAGTACAAGGGAAAGGTGGGGGGTGTTCTATTGTAAATTTCTTATGCCGAGATTTTCAATTAATGGTACTGGGGGTATGATGTATTGATCGGTATTGACCTGTATTGTCGGACAGCTGTTGAGCACGAAACCTATCCATGCAACCAAATATTTCTAAATATTTTAGTACGGGCACCCCAGGAACTTTGTCAGTTTTAAAACGAATAAAATGCTCCGCAGGGCGCAGCTTGATACGACCGCAGAGGTCGAACCCTGAACAGTTGGGGCAAGTATGGATACAACATTCGAGCTTGATACAGCTTTGCATTTGGATTGTGATTAAATATTTGACACAGCATAGGTTTCTGACACAGAATGAATGTGGTCTAAGAACTTAAAAATTTTAAATTGGACATTCACCTATTATGGTCCAATATCCAAAATCTAAATACATGGTTAGATTCAGCATATCAAAGAACCCCAAGAATTCAATTTTTGATGAAATCAAACAAAGTTTAATTTTGGACCCTTTTGACCTCAATGTGGACAAAGTTGATACCGGGGCCCAAAAATCAAAAATCTAAATACCGTAGAAAGGCTTGTATAGTCCGCGGTTTTATTCTCCAAAATTGGACCTTCCAGACGGGGTGCGGACTATAGAGTACAATAAGCAAGAAATAAGAGAAAAATTTCAATTTCGCGGTCGAGGTGGTTTGTTTACGTTCCGCCATCTTTGTTATTTCTATTGTAGAGGGCGCTCTTATCATTTTTCAAACTAATAATTTTAACTCATCCATATTAATAAGTTATTTCTATTCAATATCAAATTAATACTGATAAATATAAAAACTAAACCTTTCATTACAAATTTCTCGTTTCTTTTCAATGCATTGGTTGAAATAAACTGGTATCTGCTCGATTGAAACGATACAAACATAGTGAAAAAGACAACCGTAAACCAGCTTAGAATTTGTAAACTACAAAACGAAATCGGTTATTGTTCGTTCCGTTTTGGTGTTTCATACTGACTAATATGGTTTGTATTAGCTTAAGACCCTTCAAACATTAATGTGATAGATATATTAAAGACTGTTTTACAAAAGGATGGAACTGTTTTGCTTTCAAAGTCGTATTATAGTGATATCTGTTATGTACGGATTTCGACTCTCACCGGTTAATTTCTTCTTTTACACGTGCTTTTTAAACTTCCTGTTTAAACATACACAAGTTTCTAAATTGTTTTTTAAGTGAATTAAACTTATTTTAACAATCATGAAGCGTTCTAGAATCATTAACAAGCAGTTTCAGCTTCTGTTTGATGATGGAAAACAGGTTTTTCCAAGAAAATACCGCAAACGACCGCACAGGATTTGAAATTACCGGAGTTTCATTAGACCTTTTCTAACAGTTACAAAAAGTTTTTTTTCCTAAAATTTCGTGGGGAGAAGGGGGTGCGGACTATGTACCACTGCGAACTATACAAGCCTTTCTACGGTACATGGTTAGATTCAGCATATCAAAGAACCCCTATATATTCATTTTTGTTGAAATCAAACAAAGTTTAATTTTTGACCCCGTTTTTGACCAACTTGAAAACTGGGCCCATATTCAAAAATCTAAATACATGTTTAGATTCAGCATATCAAAGAACCCTAAGAATTCAATTTTTGTTAAAATCAAACTAAATTTAATTTTGGACCCTATCTTGGACCTTAATGTAGACCAATTTGAAAACAGAACCAAAAATTATGTCTAAATACATGGTTAGATTCGGCATATCAAAGAACCCCAATGATTCAATTTTTGATGAAATCAAACAAAGTTTAATCTTGGACCCTTTGGACCTCAATGTGAACCAATTTAAAAATGGGGCCCAAAATCCAAAAACTAAATACACGGTTAGATTCAGCATATTGAAGAACCCCAAGAATTCAAGAATAAAACCCCATTGAAATTGGTCAAGAAATAAGCAATTTATACGAAGTATCTTCTTTTGCACAATACTGTGCAATTAAATATTTCTTGCTATTGCGCAATACTGTACAATTGACAATTTCTTGCTATTGCACAATATTGTGCTATTGGATATTTCTTGCTATTGCGCAATACTGTGCAATTGAAGATTTCTTGCTATTGCGCAATACTGTGCAATTGAAGATTTCTTGCTATTGTGCAATACTGTGCAATTGAAAATTTCTTCCTATTGCACAATACTTATTATATAATAATTTACACATCCTGTTTGGTGTGTATCTCCTACCATATCATTATTATTTGCTTTTAAATATAAATCAGAAATAACCAACTTAAAATGGAAAATTTTAAAAGAAAAAAAAGGAAAAAAAAAAAAATCCCCCCCCCCCCAAATTTTTTGAACCCCCTTATGATTCATCACCCCAAACTCAATCCCAGCCTTCCCTTTGTGGTATGGTACCTTGCAGTACAATTTCAGAGAGATCCATACACTTGAACACAAGTTATTGTCTGGAAACTAGAAAAATGTGTTTTTTGGCCCCTTTTTCCTAAACCTTTAGGGCAATTACCCCCAAACTCAAACCCAGCTTTCCCTTTGTGATATGGAACCTTGTAGTACAATTTCAGAAAGATCCATACACTTACACACAAGTTATTGTCCTGAAACTAGAAAAATGCTTGTTTTTTGCCCCTTTTTGGCCCCTAATTCCTAAAATATTGAGGCAATTACCCCCATCATCAATCCCAGCCTTCCCTTTGTGGTATGGTACCTTGCAGTACAATTTCAGAGAGATCCATACACTTGAACACAAGTTATTGTCTGGAAACTAGAAAAATGCTTATTTTTGGCCCCTTTTTGGCCCCCAATTCCTAAACGTTTCGGCAATTACCCCCAAACTCAATTCCAGCTTTCCCTTTGTGATATGGAACCTTGTAGTACAATTTCAGAAAGATCCATACACTTACACACAAGTTATTGTCATGAAACTAGAAACATGCTTGTTTTTTGCCCCTTTTTTGGCCCCTAATTCCTAAAATTTTGATGCAATTACCCCCAAAATCAATCCCAGCATTCCTTTTGTGATATGGAACCTTGTGGTACAATATCAGAGAGATCCATACACTTACACACAAGTTATGTCTGGAAGTTACAAAAATGCTTATTTTTGGCCCCTTTTTGGCCCCTAATTCCTTTACTGTTGGTACCATAACCCCCAAAATCAATCCCAACCTTCCTTTTGTGGTATTGAACCTTGTAGTAAAATTTCATAGAGATCCATTGACTTAAACTAAAGTTAGAGTGCGAAAAACCAATGTGTCTTCGGACGACGCCAGACGACGACGGCGACGCCAACGTCATACCAATATACGACCACAAAAATTTTTTTGCGGTCGTATAAAAACTGTAAATGAAAGGTGTAATGAGATTGACAATTTATCCCCCAAAAATGCCAAATACGACTGGGAAAAGCGCAATAGTGTCCCGGAAAGAAAGATACCCCTGGGCAAGGTCGGCCGTGTTGCTGATGAAAAAATAACAGAGAATATTGCCGTTATTTTCCCGAGCACGCCAATAAAAAGTCTGCTTTGTATTTGGGAACAACTAAGTTAGGATAAGCACCACTGTTTGTTTACCAACAGAATAAAAAGCAGGTCAACAAAAATTATTAAAAAAAGTGTATAATTAATGCCGCCTTCAAAACAAGGGACACCCACTATGTAATTATGCAGCAAACTCTGATTTGTAAGTCGTTCTCGGGCTAGCAGGTCAGTTTTGATGGGCTAGCAGTTCTTCCAACAGGGCTAGTAAAATCCTGCTGCAAATAAGTCCTGGGCTAGTTACCTGTAACAAAATTTCTTAACCCCTGAAATTTATTTTCATTTTATAAAGAAGTTAACATGGGGTAGGGCTATCTTGAGTTGTTGAAGTGTTCACTGAAGACCCTTCAAAACTTCCAGGACATTGACCAAGGATATTCTTGTAATAACAGGATCAGTGTTGTCTTCTGAACATGGTATCCCATATTTAAGACATGGTATCCCATATTTTATCAGTATATGATATCACCTATCATAAAAGCTTATATCTCTGCTGGTTGCTGTTATCATAATTTCTTTGCACAAAAAATAGGTCAAGAGGCAATAATTTCGCCTTAAACAGTTTGAATATAAACATGCATCATACAAACACCTTGGAGAACTTTCTACTAAAATACAATCTTACCTCAACAGAACAATGTATCCAGAGTGCTGGGTTAAATAAGATATGGTCAAATAGCTGTTTCAGTAACATCCCACCTGTAGGTAAGTTTACTAAGAACTGCGTCAGGTCGAGGAAATGTCCTAATACCGTAGGGTTCACATGTTCTCTGTTTGCCTGAAATGTAGACTAGATACTGTAAATTCAGAAATTATTGCGACTTTTTTTCATGCAAATAATGTGACTGAGTTAGGATCGCAATAATAAGAACTGGCATTCTGATATATGATACATATATCTCTATGCAGGTTTTCCTGCAATCGCAATAATAAATCTCGCATGTTTGTCCATTATTCAAAAATCACGATAATAAATGCACGTAATAATTTCTGAATTTACAGTAGGTAAAAGTGAGGCTTGGATACCAAAAAATTAGTTTAACTTCATCAAATTTTGCAAGACTGTCTATCCTATATGTTGTTTGCTACAGTTTTTCTTTGTGTTTTCATTCTTGGTTTGGTAGTTGTTGATCTTGTACAGTTTTCTGTGGTTCCAAAAACATATGCTAATAATGGTTACCTTTTTTCAACCATTAGAATTGCTAGTATTATTGGCATCCATGCCATATCAAAATTTGTGAAAATACTGTATATAGGGTTATTTTTTAGTCAGGTTTTGTTTGTGGTATGAGCCTCAGATGGGTAGTTTAATTTCCCCTGTATTCATTATTCACATTTTATGGCATTATATAATTTCTTTAAATGAAGGGTACATTTGGGAGTAAAATATCTACCACGAAAGTAGCGAACAAATCAGACACACCAACATTTTCCAATATAAGGTATTAGAAATGTCCTGATTGTTGGACATCTCTAATTAGTTGCATGTAAGAGTATCATTCAATTTTCCAACCTTTTCTAAGAAGTATCCAATAACCAGAAATCCTTTGTTTTGTATCATCTGTTGTTGTATGGTGATGGAACTCTTTAATAAGATACATAATATGCTCATCAGACTTTCACTGAAAAAAACAACAATGTTGTATAAATCCTAACAAATCATGATCAAAATAATTATTGAAAATATATGAGAAATTTATTCTTTTGGATTTAAAGCATTTTGTAGTGTTTCTGAGTAAAAAGTAAAAAAAATTTGTTTTCAACCCAAGAAATATTAAAGTTCATTCATTTTAAAAATGTTCAATTGACACCCCCATTTGGTTTTTTTCTCTCAATATGCATGTGCAATTTGCAATCAAAGGTTAAATAAACAATATTCAAATCAAAAATGTTCTTTAGTTGTTTTTTTTAAAGTAGTACACATTACACAGTAATTTGCAACCAAATTCCAATACCTACCAAATAGAATAATCTACATCTGTAGGTTTGTCTGGTCCTCTGTACACAACTTCATCTAACTGACCAAACAAGGGGAATAACACCTGTCAATAAAGTTACTGTTGATTAGTTGGTTGTTTTTTTACACAATCTTAACACATAATGGCTATATCCAGATTCCAGAATAACTAATCATTACATATTTTACATACTTATTTAGATTATTACACCTGAAAGCAGTTCAAATGTTAACTTTTTTCTAAAGCCTCTTGCATATCGTTTTATCAAAAACTCAGAATAATTTCACAATCAAAGTTTCAAAGCAATCTCTATTTATTCTATATCAGGTCTAAATTCAATTGTTCATTGGTGTAAACATCAGCCTGTATTATTCTTAAATCTTAAGTAAAAAAATCACAAGTCATTATCATGATAATGTGCTTAGAAATATCATGTAATTGCCTGCATGTGGTTTTAAAGTATGTCCCTTTTATTAAAGAAAGGTTTTTCAGTAGTCTAGATAATGTTTTGTTGTAGAACGGGTAGAGAGGGACTTAGAGAACTTGCAAAGAATATTGTATTGGATAATTCTTGGATTCTTCAATGAAATAAACATAACAGTTACGCCCAAGGAACAGCAGTATTGACTTTCAACATTGGTAATGGCCCCACCTACTGGTCTGACAGCCATTATCAATGTTTCTGTCAATACTATTACCACTATGCAGTCTATACATCAAGATAATGCCCTTTTCATATCTAACTATTATGTAATTATTACAAAAAGTAAAGTTTGTATATTGTAATATTGTAAGTCATATTTTATACAATATTAAGACCAAGCTGAAAATTGACGACTTCTTACCTGTACACCTCCTAAGGAATGCAAGGTACTATGTATGGAATGTGTTATAACTGCCTTTACATCCTAAAATAAAAATACATAAAATGATGTTTTGTTATAAAGTTCACAAAACTTAATCACCTTATCATCTGTTAAAGTATTTTTAATTGACAGACCATGTCTACAGCAACTTTCCCAAGTCGGTACTTTCTTATCATAAAGATGTTGTATAAACATAAATATAAGGTTCAATTGAAGTTCTCACACACATATTGTCATTCTGTAGTCTGACCATCAAACGATATACTTCTCTGAGGAATCAGTTGTTGGTGGTAATTGTATTAATTTTGCAATGTTCAACATTTTTTAAACATAAATTGGTATATTATATATACAGAAAATTTGTCGTGCTTAATGAGATTTTAAAATATCGTTAAAAATTGAAATAAAGTAAAGATACATGGTGTGTGTTTTTTTTCAACTGGAAAACCCTTTCAAGGTTCATGAAGTTCCAAATAAGATAATATTCATACTAAACAAACATTAAGCATACCTGTGACATCAAAGCATGTTGTACATGTACAAAATGTGTGGGATTCCCTTTTGGTGAAGACTCTAAACACAACTGTGCATCACAAGCCATTGGATTATACATAAATACAATGGTGGAAGTCATCTTTCCTTCATACAAAAGCTGAAATATAAAATATTTTTAGACATGACCTAATTGTGGCATGTTTGGTAGAAAAGATAAACTGTGAGCTATTACTCATTAATAACACCCCCGCTCAATGTTGTTGACTCTTTTTTTTTTTTTTAAGAGTTTTTCGAGTAAATGCATATATCAATCAAATTGTGTACTTGGTGCCATGTATCAAGAAGCTATGACTTGTAGCTGAGAAACTTTTTATGTGTTATAGACAGACAGAGGTAAAATCTTTGAAATGGGGTATAATCAAGATTTCAGTGATTTTGCTAGCGCTTGTCATTTTCGTCATTTACGAAAAGGTTTTCAAAATGACGAAAGTTTTTCAAATCAATTTCGTCACTTAAATTTGAAAAGTGTAAAAACATTTTTGCATGAAAATACTATAAATCTAACTGTCTTCATGATTTGACAAGTTTATGACCCTCTTCTAATTAACGTTTACAACAGGTGTTACAAGTTGTGATTACGGGTAATCCGCTTATCGCCATCGGATGGGTCACTAATCCGTTAATTAATAAACCTTATATATTATAGACCATCATAATTATTTTTCCCAGTAAAATCGGCCAGTCAGCCAAACGACCACAATTAACAGTTTGTTTGTCGTAGTTTTGACATATGATCGAATTTTCGTCATATTTTATATAACTTTTCATCAAAAACTTTCAACAATTTCAATGAAAGAGAAAGAACTTTATTCAAAACATTCAGAAATATATTTCCACGAGTCAAACAAGGTGCTTCCTTTACTATGTACTGTGCATGGGTAAAAGTATTCTTATAAATTAGACATTAAAATGTAGAATATGAAATCATTTAGTATCAAAATAAAAGAAGGACATAAATATATTTCTTTACTAAGCAACTTGCTTTAGAAATATGATAATTTCCTGCCTTTTGTTAAACAAGAACCAATCCGTAGATGAATCTGGATTCATTCTGAATTTATTATTCTCTTGTCACTTCCGGTTTTTGTTTTGTTTAAAAATCGAAAGTAAACGTAATCTATTCTTGATTAATTTACAATATGCAGTCATTAGAATCGTTCCAACAAGGATTTTTACAAATCCTTGCTTCCAAGTTTATATATAAAAAGGAATGCCAAATATGGATTTAACCGTTTTTACAAGGATATCGATAATGATTATGCAGTAAAATAGTCGTTACAGTTCATTCATTTATGCTGTGATTCCTGATTTAAAAAAAAGAAACCCAACTTTTGTTGATCAGGAATGTCCCCTGAAAATAACTTAAGTGAAATGGTAAACTGTAAATCCAGATCCTTATTCGATCTTATTATAATCTTCATACTTAAGCACCACATCTATCAAATTATGCAATAACTGCCTGAGCATGCCTAAGTACTCCAAAGAAGTATAGCTAGTAATACATATCTTTGGTCCCTTATTGTTACCCAAAATAAGGTTGATTTTCATTTTGCGCAAAAGTGACTAAAGCCCTCAAAATCCTAGCTGAAACCCTGAGATTTGAAGATTGCTTGACCTTAGGTCTGCAATCAATTATTAAATGCATGTCTGTCCAAAGTAAAGAATCTTAACAGTGATAGTCCATCATATTTTGTTGCAGAAGAAAGTGTTCCAACATTTCAAAATATATTAAGACATGTCACAAATATCGAATAACTTATTTCACCTACAGCAACTTGATTATTTTTTACAGATTGAACACCAAAAAGTAACAAATTAACTTGAGTTGGGACTTACCCTTCTGTTTATTTCTTCATTGGTAAGGCCACTTTCATTTTCAAATCTAAACTGACTCTAAAAATATAAAAGTTTTGTTATCAAAATTATCCCCACATGACCCCATTACAATAACCAATCATTGATTCTTTTTAACACTTTTCAAACAAAATGTCATGTGTTATTTTGCTTCAACTTAGAACTTTAAGATTCACATAAAAATAAAAATAAAAGGCGATTATTGCTATTATAACTATTAAATTAAAAGTTAATCTCACATTCATCATTTGTAGGTTTCTTCTGTTTTAAAATATAATTGTAAAGATCCAGATTTCAACTTTAGAAATAGAAAATTTGCCACTGTAGAAAGTTTGAAACAATTCCATCATTACCCTTGAAAAGCAAAAACTGGAGAGGAGAATTTTGCTTTGATTAACTTTAAATTTTGTTGTGTCAGGATTACTATAAATATATTCAAAACAATAAAATGTTTTTATCATACCTTATAACTTGGACCCAACTGGTAAATTCCATGTATCTGCTGTGGAGACAAGGCTTCACTGAACAGGTATACAGTAGACATTTGTCCACAAAACATGTGATCTGTTTCTCCTTCAGCACTTGATCCAAGAAAACATTTGTCAAATGGCTAAAATGAAAATGGATAAATAACAGAAAGGATTGAAAATCATATATTTCCTTCTTACATAGATTGTTATTTGTATCTCCTTTATGATTTGAAGTGAATGTACCAATTTAGCAACAAGACAACTATGTTTTTATTTATTCAATCTGCTGATTACTTAAGTTAAATTATCCCCATTTGCACTGTTTCTACCCATTTTGACATTTGAATTTGAGTTAACTGTATTAATTACTCCCTATACATATACTGTCATAGTGTCTTGACACCCTCATACTTCACACTTATTAGAGAATGGGTAGTTCAAGCGCAATTCTCTGAACCGTCAGTAAAGAAAACACATCCATGATAATTACTGTAGATTCTGAGATTATACTTGACTAGCCATGATAATTACTGTAGAACCTGATATTATACCAACTTACATCACTGGTATTGACTAGTCATGATAATTACTGTAGAACCTGATATTATACCAACTTACATCACTGGTATTGACTAGTCATGATAATTACTGTAGAACCTTATACTATACCAACTTACATCACTGGTATTGACTAGTCATGATAATTACTGTAGAACCTGAGATCATACCGACTTAAATCACTGGTATTGACTAGTCATGATAATTACTGTAGAACCTGAGATTATACTTGACTAGCCATGATAATTACTGTAGAACCTGAGATTATACCAACTTACATCACCGGTATTGACTAGCCATGATAATTACTGTAGAACCTGAGATCATACCAACTTACATCACTGGTATTGACTAGTCATGATAATTACTGTAGAACCTGAGATCATACCAACTTACATCACTGGTATTGACTAGTCATGATAACTACTGTAGAACCTGAGATCATACCAACTTACATCACTGGTATTGACTAGTCATGATAATTACTGTAGAACTTGAGATTATACCAACTTACACCACTTGTATTGACTAGCCATGACATTTCTGAGTGAGACTTTAAGATTATACCAACTTACATCACTTGTATTGACTAGCCATGACATTTCTGAGTGAGACTTTAAGATTATACCAACTTACATCACTGGTATTGACATGTCATGATAATTACTGTAGAACCTGAGATTATACCAACTTTCATCACTGGTATTGACTAGTCATGATAATTACTGTAGAACCTGAGATTATACCAACTTACATCACTGGTATTGACTAGCCATGATAATTACTGTAGAACCTAAGATTATACCAACTTACATCACTTGTATTGACTAGCCATGACATTTCTGAGTGAGATTCTAAGATTATACCAACTTACATTACTTGTATTGACTAGCCATGTTATTTCTGAGTGAGATTCTAAGATTATACCAACTTACATCACTTGTATTGACTAGCCATGACATTTCTGAATGAGATTCTAAGTTCCCATCCACATACACACGTAACTCTGACTTAGTCCATCTGTTGTATACATGTACTACTGTCACCATATGCCACTGTAAATTAAAGCATACTTGATAAACACATACATACAGTTTTATAAGTTTCTGATTGCTAGCCTATGTTTATACCAGTTAATATAAATAACTTTTCTTTTCAAATATATTAATATATCATAGGCATGAACCTAGAAAGTGAAATATACATATTATAAAATTGCATTTTAATCAGAGTTAATATTTATATATGTATCTGATTTTTGGTATTTATCATAATCATTGCTGAAATGTAGTTTCAAATTAGTTACAGTTTAACTATTTGAGTGTGTAGTTGCATTGTATCATTGTACGAAAATGTTTAAATAATAAAAATAACCCAAAGCATGTATTGAAATTAATGTAATAATTATCAAATCATGTTGTCTTTCATTATTACTATCATCAAACTAACTTTAATTTGCAGTACAATACGCTTGATTCCAATCTTTATCTTTTCATCAAAGTGTTTGGTTTTAGGTGACGTTATTTGACGTCATTTGTGCGTTTGTTGGGCATAAAATATACGTCAGTATATTGAGCTCAGGGATGAATATTCTAATGGGGATAACTTCTTAATGACTGCTTAGATAACTGTTTTTAAATGACAAAATAAATACATTTCACTATGCAGGGTTGGATTATGTACATAAGAATAATGACCGGTGTTTGAAAAATGTCGAGCAGTCACAATTACTTTATCAGTTCAAAGATACAGGGATCCAGTTAGCCCATAAAAAGTTTAAATGACGTGAGAAATCAGCGAATAGTAAAAGAGTATTTCTGGTACTGGAAATGATATGGATCAAACGTATTTATAAGATACAATAGATTCAGAGCTGCATAAATTTTTTTTTCAAATGGTCATTTTTAATTTGACTTCAAAATGAATGCATTTTTTTTAAGTGCTTATGTTTTGAAATGATCCAACAATTTTAATAGATGTTACTGACTTTTCATGTTACATCACAAATAAAAAGTCATTTATTGATATACATTATTATTCTACTTGATAATAAAATGATCCCTTTAAGATCTCACGATCAACAGAACAGAACCGAATTTGTTTACCATTGGTTACCTTAACAAGGGAGGTGACTCAGTAACATTTAACACAGTGAATATTATACATATATATATATAATAACATAAATCACAAAATGTTAACTTGTTGATAGGGATACATTCATGTGGAAACTCTATGTTTTCTCAAAACTAAATCTAGCACAGATTACAACATTAAAGTAATACAACACAAGTGGAATGTGCATGGGGACAAATTATGACTGTCCCAAAACATATATCAAACCTCAAATTTACAAACAATTTTAGTACTAAAGTGACATGTTAGTATGAATATATGTTTCTTATGACTGCCAATGCAGCCACTGGGAAAAGGTCTCAGTGAAACAATGCCTTAAAAGGAAAATTAATCATGCTTCAAGTGAAAAAGTATTATCATTTTCCAATGGAGATAGAATATAAAATTCATTTGAAGAAATTTGCATTCTGCACTTTATGAAGTTAGTATATTTATATGTACCATTATAATGCATTTCAATAATTTAATGAGCTTCATTTATAGAAACAACTGTATGAAGATCTTTAGGAAACAAAAATGACGAGAACATAAGTTTTAGTAATTGGACTGAAATCTGGTTATTGAAGACAACTTATACTGTTGGTGAAATCTGTGCACAATCAAGAGAAATTTTATCAAAATGCAGAGCAACTACAAGAAGTCTTCAAGCATTTCTGTTAAGCCTTTTCACATTCTGAAGACTGTGTGCTTGTTAGATGAAATTGCTCAAACTTTCCTCTATTTGAACATGTTGAAAACATTTTTACTACAAAGGAATCCATACACCAAAATTAAGTCTAACCTTTATACATCGTTCCTGTAAAAATAAGTAGCTTTTTTGGTTTTCCTTTTTCTTCTAATTTTCTCCTAATATATCTTTACAGGAAAGTTTTATTTGGGTTTTGAATCAAAATAAATGTACGAATCAAAACAAAACTGTGTTTCCCATGATCTCCTCAAAGTAGTTTTAATGAAAACATCTTTACTATTAATAATAGGAGAAATTATTTACCATATACTTTCAATTTGTGTCAAGTCATAAATATGCATGTATCTATTCTGATATCAAATTAATTTCTGCAATTTTGCAAAGACACTTTTTTTAATTTTCAACATATGTTTTCTTTGTTAACGTGAAAACAAGTGATGTCAGCATGAATGCAGATGTCAAGAGCAATTTTTTGTTTCAAAGTTTTTTAAAGGTCAGTTCATCTTCTAAAAAAGACATAAAAGGGTTGACTTTTCCATAGGATCAAATAATCTATTTCTTATCTAATGAACCAACTGATATAAACAGTATTTACCTTTCTGGGAAGAAATTCATATTTAACACAATGTTGGAAACCTTTTCCTTTTATCTTCATTGCAGTAATAACCAAGGAATTCCCCACAAAATGTGCTGAGTATCCAACTCCTTTGTTCGTCTTAAAACTATGAAATGGAAAAAAGCTCATTACATTTATTTCAATATAATATCCTTTATCTTTATTTTTATAGCCTTACTGATTGAAAAACCTTAAATTGACTAAAAAGAGTATTCTATCCATCTTGCAAGATCAGCAACCCTCACAAAAAATGTTACAAGAAAAGTACTTGTTAATTCAGAACATTTCAGGATAATTTACCATCAATTTTAATCTTAATTTTTTTTTGTGAAAATAAGTGCAGAACTATATGTTTTTTTGTATGTATACTTCTTATCAAAAGATGATTAATGTGGCATAGAGGTTACTAACAATCTTTTTAGAGCTATTTTCCTAATGCTTGTAGTTTAAAGGTTTGGTTGGCTTGCTTGCTTTGTTTGAATGAATGTTTGCTCCTGCATTGTAATTAAGATGGACATCTGCAATCAATCGATAGGCTTGTATACATTATACTTATATTTGTTTTTTGTTCATTTTTTGTACATAAATTAGGCCGTTAGTTTTCTCGTTTGAATTGTTTTACATTGTCATTTCCGGGCCTTTTATAGCTGACTGTGCGGTATGGGCTTTGCTCATTGTTGAAGGCCGTACGGTGACCTATAGTTGTTAATTTCTGTGTCATTTGGTCTCTTGTGGAGAGTTGTCTCATTGGCAATCATACCACATCTTCTTTTTTTATATTAAATGTTATTGGATGTTAAGTATAATGCAGAGTTTAATGTATACAAGCTGAAGCCCTGCCTATCTATTGATTGCAGATGTCAATCTTAATTACAATGCTTGAGCAAACATTTATACAAACAAAGCAAGCAAGCCAACCAAACCTTTAAACTACAAGCATTAAGAAAATAGCTCTAATCCAATAATATTTTTCTTTTTATGAACACGTCATTCAATGCATTGCTAAATAAAAAAAAGTTGTGGTATAAGAAGAGGCTTTGAGTTAAAATAATAAAACGGATAACTTTATAGTTGTTTCATAAACAGTTAAGCCTATAAATAAAACAGTGAAATAAGAAAGCCACACTGATTAAAACCAACCATTCATGAATAGTAATCATTAAGTTAAAAGTATATTTTAAATAACACGAATCATTCAAAAAGCTAAAAATGATGTGTTGTTTTTCTGATAAACACAATATACATTTATATGTTATATAGTTTCCTACCAATAAAGATATGGTTGTTCTCTTTCTACTGTTACTCCTGTGACAGGGTCTAATCTCATCCAACAGCTAAATGTCCAACCATTCTGATATGGCCATGTCTTTATTGGGGGTAGTGCTATGTGCTGTAATACAAATTCATTAATTTAATTTTCATTATTATTCTTTTCTAAAAAATTCTTTTGAAGTCAGTATATTTATCGAAGGGTCAACAGGTTCTTGAAAACCTGTATTATAAATATGCCTTTTATGCATAAAAAAATCCCAAAATAAGCTATATAAACTCATTTGGTAAATATCATTCAAACAAAAAGTACAACATTTGAATGAAATCTTAAATCTCATTGCCCATTAATAATATATGCAATACTGGTGTTTATTTATTATTGTGTTGTTGCATCCTATATTCAATTTGACAAAGACTACTTGTGATAAGCAAGTGTTAGGAAAATATCAGATGTACATTAAACTTACTGATCCTTTTTTACCAGGGAAGCTGAAAAATTCATCTGGTCCTTCTCTCTGTGGCATCATATTCAACACTGATAGTAGTTTTACTGAATGTAATTGCTGAAAAATAAAAAAAATTAATCATTTACACAGTTATTTTTGTATGGAGACATTGTCTGAAAAAATCATTTGCTTGTTTTTTATTGCATAAGCATAACCTTTTTTTCTGAGAGTTACTACATGTATATATATGTATGTGGAAGCTGTCGGTCATATTTGTTTTTCGTTTTAATGTTTTGTCATATATCAAGTGGTTTGTTTTTTGGTTTGAAATGATTCAAACTAAAGTCATATCCAGTCTTCTTTTAAGCTGAATAAACATATGGGTATTGCTCATTGTTGAAGGATGTACAGTGACCTATAGTTGTTTAAATCCATGTCATTTGTACGCTGGTGGATACTTTTCTCATTGACAATCAAACTACATCTTCTCAGTTTTATGTATGCAAATTATCTTTATAAATATTACTTAAAGTGCAGTGAGAAATACAAAAGCATCAACAATTCTGAAAAATTTGAGTTTGTCATCTTCATTATTCTTAATGCAAACTACTATTTGTCTGAATTTTTCTAATGTCTTATATCTGTTTCATTTGCATGGAAACTCTGACGCTATATTTTCAGCTGTTGAATCTTTATTCCTACTTCTATATGTTAGGTTACTCTTATTAATCGAAAAGAATGAACTTCGATAAAAATTTCCTTAGTTTGCATACCAAAAACCTTAAGCAAATGCCAATAAGTCTGCATAATAAATAATTTTTTTTCAGGTAAAATTTATTTTGTAGTCATTTTTGTAATGAACTCAGATTTTCTATACTTTCCTACCCATTTGCTATCTTTAATTTTCAGTAAACCCATAAGTATCTTCATTTCTCGTACTGTGATACTGTAACTGGCCAGGACACCTAGCATGTCTACTAATAAATCTGTAAAGTATTCAAAGACATCTTCAAATTCTTATCGTTTTATACTGGATCCTTTTACATGTTTATTAGTCACTTCAGAATCTAATGAATTGTCAGTAAAAAATTCAAATTGTATGTTTAAAAGCATTGTAATTATTTGAAATATCATAAACATTGTTGCACATCCAATGATATTTTGTCAAACAAGCTGACTGCAGACATATACTGGACAAAGCTTGACAAAAGTTGCATACAAACTTGGACCTCTACTGTGCTGACCATATAAGAGTGTTATGAATATACCAGACATGGGGTCAATTACTTTTGAAAGTAATTAATTACATTCAATTACAATTACAAAATCTTCAATTAAATTACACATTACATTTGACTTTTTTTGCACAAGATTCAATCTTTCTGATCCCAAATTTCAAATGTAATTGAGTTGTAATTAAAAAGTAATTGTCAATTACAGACAATTTTGGCTTTGTAATTCATTACTTTCAATTACTTGTAAATGAAAAAATGCTCAATTACACATTACATTCAATTACTTGAGAAATTGTAATTAATTACAGCCAATTACAATTACATATTTCAATTACCCCATGTCTGGAATATACCAACACCTATTGCTTATTGTATCTGAGAAATGGACCAGGAAAACCTAACATTGACCAATGAACCATAAAATGAGGTCAAGGTCAGATGAACCCTGCAAGACAGACATATACTCCTTATAATTGTTTCATACACCAAATATAGTTGACTTATTACTTATTGTAACTGAGAAAGAGACTTGACCACGAAAACTTAACCTTAATCACAGATCCACGAAATGAGGTTAAGGTCAAGTGAACCCTGTCTGGTGCACATACAGAACTTGACATGATTCTGTAAACCAAATATAGTTGTCCTATCACTCAGAATATGTGAGAAAAATATGTGATAAAATAACTATAGCTTTTTTCAAGCAGGTGCTGAACCATGAAAATGAGATCAAGGACAATGGACATATGACTGAAACATCATAGCATAAGGCATCTGTATTCAAGATATGAAGTAAATAAGTCTTCTTTCTGCCTTCGGAAATCTTATGCATAATACAAGTAGTGTATGCCACTTCCCAATGTGTCCCATTTTACTACTTCACTGCAGACAAGACAAAAATCATAGACAAGATGATTTGCAATGCACATTTTTAGTACTAATATAATTGGTGCATTTATGGTGATCTTTATACAGCTATAGTTGGGTTCTTCAAATCAATTCTTTGACATTTCTTTTATCATCTTTTTTTTCTTACCCAATTTTCCCCCCCTAATCTATAGCATTCCAAATAACTTATCAATACTCAGGGACAAGATTATAAATATATGTATGACATTACTGATACAATCAAACAACAATGGTCAACTTTTTTTAGGTTATAATTGCAAAAACTCATTAGCCAAAGAACATATGTGTTAGAAAACAGATAATTCAGTTATCATGGTTATATCAATGATTGAGTAGAGTGTCACAACTCCCTAATATAACACAAAGAAAATAGCAGAACATGAAAAAATATTGTCATATGAGAGAAAAAGAGAATTAAAAATCAAAATTGCTCTCGCTACTAATTTGATATAGAAGATAAATGAGAAAATCTGTAGTTCTCAGTAAGCCATTAGATTCAAAATTATATTCCTGAGTCAAGGTAACATTATTGATTTATAATATGGTGTTTGATCTTCCTCTCTTGACATTTTAAACCTTGTCTATCATGAAACAGACACCTTTAACCATAAACCTCTTTAATTCATCTATGAACTATTATACACATTGTCTTTATATGAAATATGATTTTTTGATTTCTTGAAAATGATTCTATTCATATTAGTTACATGTTAAGGCAAACTTTATCATAAGATTCCAAGAAATCAGATTACTTATTATTAAACCAATTTCCAAGAAAACTTTTTGGCATTATTATTGAATGCAAAATAATGATGATTTATGGTTAGGCAACCAACTGTAATGAAAAATCAACCAATAATTGATGCTAGTATTCAATCTGAAAACCTGAGTCTATGGACTGTCAATGCTAGCACTTCAGCTTTATATAGGTTTTGACTTAGACTTATTTTAGGATACTTGAGAATTAAATTATTTACCAAATCAATTTAATGTGATAATGTTTAATTGATTGGTCTCTTTATACTTGTTATGCCTTCCTAGACTTAGAACTGTTACCGATCAGAGAGAAGAAAGAGTGTCTGGCTGATTGGAATTGAACAATATTTCCATTATAAATGTTATAAATTTTACTAGTAAAAATAAAAGAATGCTACCTGCTATTACATCATCAGCATCATTTATTAAATTCAAAACATGTTCTATCAAGCCGACTTCTGTACACGCCTGTAAGTTTCTGCGACTTTTCTTTAACATAGCTGTAAATACACTCCATATCTCGGCCTACAACATAAAGGTAATCAAATAAAGCTAGTCAATCAAAATATGTCCATTTAAAATTTTTTTTAAATATCAAGGCAATTGCATTTTTGTCAAATTAGAATATCAAAGATTGTATCAAGAACTGGAGGCTCATTTAGCTTTTAAAGTCCATATTATTTACCACAACTAGAACTGCTAAATATAAAATGTTATGTGAAATGGGTCTCACATATCTCATTCCTTGAATTTAGTAAAAACTTTTTAGCCATTTTTAATGAAATCTACAATCGGTCCAAATGCAGAGGCATAAGTAGGGGTACCAGCCCTCCCCTCTTTCATTATCTTTTAAACTTTGAGTAACAGATCCTCAATATTTTTCAGTGGGCCATTTTGCCAAAGCCCTTTTTCAACATCTTGGATTTATTACTGTAATTGGTCTTGAAGTTTCATGAAAAAAAACATTTTTAAATTATGTTTCTAAAAGTATCAAATTAAATGGGTATACAAGTTATAGGTTTTTTCAAATCAGTCATATTAGTAAAGTCATCTATCCTGAGCATCACTGGAAGATAGACAGATAGACTCATGCATGATTGACACTATTGTTTCATTATCTAATAAATAATTTTAAGTATTTAAAACAATTTTAAAAGTGTACCAGGTATAACATGAAACTGTTTTGTACTTGAGCATTTCATAAACAACAAATAATTGTTAATTTTACAAAATTAACTTTTTTGTGGATGAACAATCCAATATCACTAAACCTTCTTTAAACATTGTTCATGGTGTTGTTCATTTATTTTTCACACCTTTTATTTCCATATGCAAACCACCTAAGTTATATTTAATATTTAAATAAATGGGGAATGTGTCCATGGGACACAGATGATGCCCCTGTTTGCATATAACATTATAAAGGGACATAACTCAAGAACTGTAAAAGTGACGCTACCCAAATTTGTACTTGATCTGAGTTTTGTGGTTATAAGCATTGTTTATAAGTTTCATAACATTTAGTTGAGGTAAACTTAAGTTAGAGAAAGGAAACGCAAAATTCAGCAATTTTTCCATTTGTACAGGGGCATAACCCTAGAACGGTAAAAGTGACACCACCAAAATTCAAACTTGATCTGTGTTTTGTGGTAATAAGCATTGCGTATAAGTTTCATAACATTTGGTTGAGGCAAACTAAAGTTAGAGAATGGAAACCAATTTTGGGACGTACGGATGTACCAACGGATGTACAGACAGACAAGGGTAAAACTTAATGTCCCCCTCCGCTATGACGGGGGCATAAAAAAAAGTATACAATTGTAATTGGATGAAATGTCCACAAATAACAAACATGAAAACTGCAATTAATTCAGAATCAATGAAACAAGGAAACTATTACCAAAGTCAGAGATAATTGTGTCTTTTGAAAAGTCAATGCCCAAAAGATTTAATGCAAAACCCTTTGGATTGGATTCTCATACAACTGTAGCTATATTTATAGTTAATCATTTTATCTATGGTGTAAAGTTGTCATATGTATAAAGCTGGACTTGTATGTTCATTTATATTCAGCGAACAACTTTATTGCCTAATATTGTTTTTGGTCAATTTCAATTAACATATTCTGTATTCCATGTTTGCCCTATCAACATCAAATTAGTTTTGTAACATTTTCATAGAGCATGACATAAATCATTAAATATCTAATCCGTTCAATATTTTGAAATTACCTATCAAAAAATGTTTATATTTTTTACCAGTACCTATATGCCAACATGTTTACATACAACATTACATTTGTGTGTTATTTCTCTGTACTTTTAGTAATTAATACCAATATTAGGTTAAAGAGTATAGTATTAAGAATGAAAGGGTTTTAATAAGAGGAAATTGCAGTTCGAAAAAGTTCAAATCTTGTTATTCTATTTACAATATTCAAATGGAGAGAAACTTACTAGAAATGGAAACCCCAAGGTTTGATGTTATCTACTGAGTTGTTAAGTAGTTAAATCACAGACTTGTACCCCACATCTCCTTTCAAAGCACATGAAGCAACAGTGTACTCTTTTAGACAGTCAACTTTTAAGTGATAATTTACAGTCTGGATCAAGTATTGTTCTCGAATATTCCTACACTATGTGCAACTTTTTACTTGAATTACTTACCTTGGGTGCACAATATTTTAAATCTAAGTGTGAACAATCTTCCTGTATTGTTAATGGGCATTATTTTAACAGTCTGAATATAACAACCAACCTGGAGTGTTCATTTTTTGTGTTTTAACAGTCCGAATATGACTACCTACCTGGAGTGTTAATGGGCAGTTTTTAACAGCCTGGATATGACTACCTACCTGAAGTGTTAATGGACAGTGTGTTAACAGTCTTAGCATATGCATAATGTTTTGTTCTTCCTGTATGATGAAGTTGTTTTCAATGTCAAACTCTCCTCCAACCAACTGAAAAAGATAATAAAAAAGAAAAGGAAATCAAAATTAGATCCCACTTTTGGTGAGCTCCATATATGTTTGTGGAATCTTGTGTTTATTTATTGTGACTTGGTGTTGTCCATCAGGTTGTTATTTTTAGCCTTTCAAAAGTATGTTAATTTTATATATAAATGAACAGGTAAATAAAATCCGGACTCTTTTGTGCAGAAAGTTCTCTTGTGAGGTAACTGATGTCCATAACATGTAAAAATTTACGCACTTGACCTAAAATGGCCATTTCACACATACTTTTGGTCAAAATATATACGAGTGAGATCTTTACCCCAAAAAATACTTTACATACTTCAACATCATTGTAAAATACATTTTGTAGCAAAATATCTGTTTGAGTAAAGCTGTAGCACATATACCTATGAATTATGACAAGATTTCAAAATGAGGCTATACTGGCATTTTTGTCTGTTTTGAAGCCAATATGTCACTTAGCAAGACAAATTCAAAAATATGAAAACTCATGTCCAACAGACTAATGCCTTATGAACATCTGAAGGATATTATTTGGCAGATTATAAAACTTTTTGATTTTCAAATTCAAGGGGCCACACCTTCTCCTGACATTTATCTAAGATTTTAAACTTCAAACTTTATTTATTGCTTGTTATCGACTTACACTAAATGAATTCAAAAAAGTTTGCACCTCTCAGTAATAACTGAGTCTAGATAACACTGAGAAATTCTTTTTAATGTTTGCTATTTACAAGTCTTATCTTTAATTGTCATACTAAATACATGTTGATTTTTATTAAGTGCCCCGAAAATCTTCCTGTTAAAAGATCAATAACATTGAAGTCCTATCGACTTGATCTAACCCTATTACTTTTGCCTGAATCACTTTCTTAATAAAAATCAAGGCTCCCATTAATGTTTTCATTTCATTCTCATTTGTAGTCAAACTCTGTCTGTCAAATTATACCAAAAATAACAAGAATCTAACAGTATAAAAAGGACCTGCCATTTATAAACTTAAGTGAATTAAACACTAGGATATCACTGTGTTTTAACAAAGGTTGTATAGAACCTTCTTGGTTTTAACTACATTGGAACCAGAAATTTAGTTTGTCAGGACAGCAACATGTTTGTTAGATAATTTCTACAGCATAGATCAGGTCTTATTCAACTATTTTTTATTAAGCTCCAAGTTGAAGAAATTTATTGTAACAAAAGTATCACTTAAGGGATAAATGGGGCAAATTTCATTCTTTTTTGATAATGTAAATTCAGAAATTATTGCGAGGTTTTTATTAATATGAATAATGCAACTGGGTGAATATCATAATAATAAATACTCGCATTCTGATATCTCAAGCATATATCAGTATGCAGCTTTTCCTGAAATCGCAATAATTAATCTCGCATTTATGTTTGTTCTTCAAAAATCGCAATAATAAATGCACGCAATAATTATTGAATTTACAGTATTGAGATATGGGGATGTGTGGTTTACATTATAACTTGAACAAAAAAAGAGTAACAAAACACCTATTGATTATCAAATCTTTAAATTTCTATTTGATGACATCACTCCATTCAATCTCATGCCATCATTTAGATGCTGCTAAGTGATCTATACTGATACATTTAAGTGACATAAATTGACACTCCATAATTCATATTTTACCATTTGACATTTTTGAAACATTTCAAATTATTATAGTAACTTCACTTGAAAATCTTATTACCAAATGCTGCATGTGACATTTATATCATATTACCATAGATTTGTTCTTCACTGGTACAAAACAAACTTTCAGCATCAACAAGATCCACATAATTAATGCATTTGCTTTTTAACTGTGATCATGATTTACCGAAAACTTGTGATTAAAAGGTTTGCAATTTTCAATATGAATGAAAGGAGATGTAGGGTAAACAAAATGACAGCAACCTAGCATCACATAAAAACTACACGACATCAAGAGGTCAACATACAGTATAAATAGTATCGAGAATATAAATTGATTCCTAAATATTGTTAGAAGATTCTTTGTTTTGAGCAGACACAGATCTGGTTCATAAAGTTATCATTTATACTTACACTCAAACTTAAATATTACTATGCATAACATGGAAATTTGAAAAGAGAACTGTGTATTTTTAGATTGAAGTTTTGAAATTTTCTTTTTCAGATTCTTACCAAATAGTACAAGTAATTAATTGTTGACAAACATTTCTATCAAAGGAGATAGAATTAATCATTTTTGAGTTCCCCCGAGTCCCAATAAGTGTAAATCTAATATTCCTGTGTAAATAAAGGCCCAAATCCAGAAAAAGGTTCTTCCATCCTTTGATCAAACTCAGGACAGAACAGACAAAAAAAATCTATCAAACAGATAATGTTAAATGGTATGTTTTTCTCCATAGGTCTTTTGGATTTTTTTGTAATGAATACTGTATTTTTTTTTTACCAATTTTCCCATTATTTGAAAGTTTTATAGAAAGAGCATACTAAACTCAAAATTAAAAACCTACAGATCAGTACACTATAAATATCAATAATAGAATGATACTTGTTCTGTTATGACTTTATATGTTTACATATAAACAAATACAATACAATCTAAACAACTTTGCTGCAATTCAAATACAGGCCTGTTGGGCAATGTATTGATCCTGTATATATATATGTGATATCTGCAACTAAACTTATTGATAATCATGCCATGAATTATCAGACAGTGATTTTAATGAAGTTTTAAGTATTCCATTATCATAACCTTACAGGTATGATGATCCACTATGATCCATGATTTTTATACAAGATTCCATCCATTTAAAATTGAGTTCATCAGCAGCTAATATAAGAGATCAGAAATATAGTCCTCTACAGGGGAAGATATGACTGCTAATTGCTATGAATTCATTGTTATATATAGTTGGATACCAATTTTCGTGTATAAGCTGATAAGTGAACAACGAAGTTCAAATTTTCTATAGGCTAATATCCAAAATTTGACAATACCATGAAATCAAATTTATCCACAAAAATACAGTTTTTCCTCAATCCACAAATATTGGTATCTAAGAACATAAAAGAATCCACAGTAACTTTTTATGTAAATTAAACTCTTCTATTTGACCTCTACAGGTAACTTACACCATACATTTCATGTTAATGAACCCTTGTTTACAACAGCAAATAAAATGCTCCGCTGGGGCGCAGCTTGATATGACCGCAGAGGTCAAACCCTGAACAGTTGGGGCAAGTATGGACACAACATTCAAGCTTGATACAGCTCTGAATTTGGATTGTAATTAAATATTTGACACAGCATAGGTTTCTGACACTGAATGAAAGTGGTCTAAGAACTTAAAATTTTTTAATTTACCTATTCAAACCATATCATTATTATTTGCTTTTATATATAAATCAGAAATAACCAATTTTAAATGGAAAATTTAAAAAAAAAAAAATGAAAAAAAAATCCCCCTCCAAATTTTTTGAACCCCCTTATGATTCATCACCCCCAAACTCAATCCCAGCCTTCCCTTTGTGGTATGGTACCTTGCAGTACAATTTCAGAGAGATCCATACACTTGAACACAAGTTATTGTCTGGAAACTAGAAAAATGCTTGTTTTTTGGCCTCTTTTTGGCCCCAAATACCTAAACGTTTAGGGCAATTACCCCCAAACTCAAACCCAGCTTTCCCTTTGTGATATGGAACCTTGCAGTACAATTTCATAAAGATCCAAACACTTACACACAAGTTATTGTCTGGAAACTAGAAAAATGCTTGTTTTTTGCCCCTTTCTGGCCCCTAATTCCTAAAATTTGGAGGCAATTACCCCCAAAATCAGTCCCAGCATTCCCTTTGTGATATGGAACCTTGTGATACAATGTCAGAGAGATATATACACTTACACACAAGTTATTGTCATGAAACTAGAAAAGTGCTTGTTTTTTGCCCCTTTTTGGCCCCTAATTCCTAAAATTTGGAGGCAATTACCCCCAAAATCAATCCCAGCATTCCCTTTGTGATATGGAACCTTGTGGTACAATGTCAGAGAGATCCATACACTTACACACAAGTTATGTCTGGAAGTTACAAAATTTTTGGCCCCCAATTCCTTAACTGTTGGTACCATAACCCCCAAAATCAATCCCCACTTTCCTTTTGTGGTATTGAACCTTATGGTAAAATTTCATTGAGATCCATTAACTTAAACTTAAGTTAGAGTGCGAAAACTAATGTGTCTTCGGACGACGAAGACGCCAACTTCATACCAATATACGACCTCAAAAATTTTTTTGCGGTCGTATAAAAACAGATATGCTTATAATTGCTATTCTAACATTACGTTCTTCAAACGCTTTGAGTACACACCCATGGTAAAACATGAATATATTGTTTGGGCTGTTCCGATTGTACTCCCGCGTCATATGTTTCTTTATGAATGAGCTTCCCGACGTCATAGAACGATGACATAAGAATATAAGCATTTTACGGGAATATACACGCTGGTGAAACCGAAAATCATCACAACAAGGAAATGTAAACAAACTATGCTAAAATGTGTTATATAAGCCATTTTTTGTATACATATAAGACATATAAGTACAATTATCATTTAGACTCATCCAACCCTATCTAAATATGTTATTGTAAATAGTTTAAGCATGTCATTTATTCAGTTTGCTCCGGTCTTTTACGTCAATTTAATAGTGCGTTTATTTATGGGAACGGCAAATAATGCCTTCATCTAGAGCGCTTTGATCCAAAACAATTGCCGTATTTGTCCTATTAGAATCGAAATAATTCATGGGGGCTTGAATATATCTTGATTTTACCACGTGTTGTCCTTATTTTTGAGATATAATCAATAGGAAATTTGGTGGGAAATGATTCTCTCTAGATTTTTCAGACATTTAACATTGGCCCTTTTTTTCTTTCAAAAACGATGAAAAAATAACAAGGATTTCATAAGATTTTCATAAATGACTTTTAAACT